ATTTTTTTCATTTAATAATATTAATTGGGACGTGAACCAGCATACCTACTGTTGGAAAATTATTTTGTTTGACAAAAAAATAATACTAGTTATAATGCGAGGTATATCCAGAAGGTAAGTTCATTTTTACTGGTAAAATTTAACAAATGTAAGTATATTAAGAAAAATAATTTATTGCAAAAGAATTAGTAGGCTTAAAAGTATTTTTCAACAACACCATTTTGTAGGCATTTATCGTAAGCGTGGCACTAATTTTTGTGTTCCTCCGTCATATGACTTTAACCAAAGTTGTACCACAGACAATATGTTGTCTGTGGTTGTACCTACTTTTTTATTTACCAACGGGTATGTATACAGTATAATGAACAATGAAAAAGACATTTTAATATGTCAATGTAGGTACAAAATATATATCATATTACAAACTCTCTGTTTCTCCTTGCTCCGTTCTTAGTGAAGCGCTCGATAATCTTATCTTCGTTGAGAACAATGTCCCTGTGAACACTCAGTAGGGTGAGACTAATTAATCTTTCTTCGCCCATTTTAGATCTCAGCCAAGTTTTCAATCTCCTTAACTCCAAAAAACTTCAACAAACAGTAGTAGGTACCTCGGTAGTTAGGTACATAAGATTTTGAGAAATTCGTGTATGATTGAGTAAATTAAATCCATCCATTCAGCTGCATTGATCAAGAGCCCCGAATCTCTGTTTTATCACAGTTTATCCTCGGTTTATCCACTTCATTTTCTACAATAATTCGGAGGAAAGGCTGGATTTCAACACTTCTCCTTGAATAGAGTACGATACTTCTCAGAGAGTACTTTGGCCGCATGATCAATTTTATCACAGTTTCATAATACGCATACTTGCAGGTAAAATAAATCCAAAGTATCTTGTTTAAATCGGCCTTTCAACTATGTACATTATTTTATTGGCGTCATCTGAATTAACCACACTTTCATCCATATCATTGTTCCATTTTCCTTGTGTGAATACCCTCCGCCGGCACTGTTATGGAGATATTAAATTGACGTAGCCAATAGATATCTTTAATAATAATAATAATAATAATAAATCGTCTTTATTGAACATGTTCTCTGGCGAAATCTAGCTCAAGGCTATTCTATTTAACCAGAAAGCATGGAAATAAGTACACAAATTAAATATGCACAACACAAGATAATCAAATGATAATAGAATTAAAAACAAAAAACAAAAAAAAACATTATACATATCTGCAAGAACTATCCCAAATTATGATTATGATTGAGGAGATATGCCTTTAAATGTTTTTTAAAATTATTTCTGCGATATTCCGTGATGTATGAGGGAAGAGAGTTATAAAGTTTCACAGAATTATAACTAAAGCTTCTTTGAAACATAGCTGTTCGATGATGGGGTACCGTGAGTTTATTATTAAAACGTACGTTAACACGATGTCGACGTGATGCAGGTATCAGTCTTTCAGCAAGTACGTTGGCAGCCAAATTCGAGGTAAGAAGGGAATTGGTGAGATTGATAATATGAAATTTACACCTATTTTCCATATTCAACCATGACAACTCATTTATGTAGTTTGACACATGGTCATAACGATTTAGGTTGTAAATAAAGCGACAGCACCAATTTTGAATTTTTTGTATACGGTGTAAATCGATACGATCTAAACATGGGCCATAAACGGAGCAACCATAATTAAAATGAGACAAAACAAGGGTTTCAGATAACATTTTTTTTTATTAAATGATAGTATGTTGCGATTATAATATAAAAATTTTAAAGATGAGTAAGCATTTTTTATTAAATGAGACACATGTAACTTAAATCGAAAGGAAGAATCAAGTATAATACCTAGGTTCTTGGCGGAATGTTGCAAAGTTAGTGGGGTACAAATTATGTTAAAGTTTAAATTAGAGGATGCAAGAAGTTTTTGTTTACCGAACAATATTAATTTAGATTTATCTGCATTTAGCAATAAATTGTGTTTAGACGAAAGCCGACATAGATGAGCAAGATCACTATTAATGCTCTCACAGGCCAATATTCGTTCAGCATAGCTAAAAGATTTGTAAAGTTGAGTATCATCCGCGTAAGCCTGCAATTTACAGAAGTTACACGCGCGGTGTACATAGTAAATAGAAGCGGACCTATAATTGACCCTTGAGGCACTCCAGACAAGATAGAGTACCTACCAGATAATTTATTGTTAGATTTCACCGTGAGATGTCTGTCTGTTAGGAAAGAATGGATCAAATTGACAGAGTATTCTTCCAATCCATAATATCTAAGTTTAGCGCAGATTAACTTATGATTAATGGTATCAAAGGCCTTTGAATAATCCAACAAAACCAGTGCAGTAATTTGATCTCTATCTGTAGCAGTTAATATATCATCGGTTAACACCGTTAGGGCATTTACCGAGCTAATACCTTTACGAAATCCATATTGGTTCGGTGGCAGAACATTATTAGTGTAAAAAAAACACTGTAACTGCTTCTGAAGGATTCTCTCAAAGACCTTTGATATACTCGGTAATATACTAATGATACGCAGGTCCGATAAACAATTAGGCTTTGAAACTTTAGATAGAGGAATTCCTATCGCTTTTTTCCAAGCTCCAGGAAAATATTTAGTTTCAATGCAGCAGTTGATTAGATACGTTATGTATTTATCTACGTATGGGCTGCAGTATTTTAGCATTATTGCACTTATATTATCTTCACCATTTGCATTTGACTTTAGACCCACCAATGTTGAATGTACCTCATCAATCGTAGTCAGTTGAAATTCAAAAGAACTGGTGGAATATTGATACTTATTAGTATTATAAAACTGGATCAATTCCGCGCAATTATCGTTAACATTTTGTACAAAGGTGCTAAAATACTGGCCAATAGCATTCGGATCTGACAGATGAATAGGAAGTTCATTTTGTTTCTTTAACCCGCGGATATTAAGATCTGATAAAGCCTTCCACACTGCCCGAGAATTTCTATTTTTTGTTAGATGTTCAATATACGCCCGCTTTTCCCGCCTTACACACATAAAATCTTTCATCCATACATTCTATTATTTTCCCTACGCTTTCACTATATTCGCAGTGTTGACTCCACCAATAGATATGTACCTATCTATCGTCCAGACGTTCTATGTTCCAGTTGTGAGTAACCTTTTCCAACACTGCGTTCTCTAATAGATATTCGCACTTAAACTTATGAGTACCCACTAGATATGTTTCGTCTTTGTCAGTACCCCCCGACAATTCATCCTCGAGATATTTGCACTATAAGTTTTTACCCCCACCCCCTTTTCTAAAGTTTTACTTGGCACCATTAAAGGCATGCGTATGCAACATCTGAGACCAATTGGTTGTCGCATGTAAAACTTATGCACGTTAAAAATTCCAGGACTCTTGGACCATTCCCCTAAAAGTACTTTAACACATGAAATTAGGATGGAAAGGGAGGTTTTAATATGACCCGAGATACGACCATCAAAAAATTACTATTTCTGCTTCGTGGATTTTCAAAGATTTGGTATGGAATGCCAAGGAATACATTTTTTTTATTAAAAGAGTGTACGCCTACCTGATTTCTCCTTTATCCAATCATGCAGTGCTTGTTTATAGTGTGTTTCTGTACGTAATGTGTGTACAGTGTGTCCCATTAGTGCGATATCGGGGGATATTTCTTGACAGTGCGGGGGTACAAAAAAGGAGAAATACAAAATTGTTTGGTGGTCTAATATGCATAACGCAAAAATATTTTTTATGTACCTACATACTTAGAGAGTGCTCCATAAATGTAGTATGAGACAACTTTGATATTTTAAATGGAACACTGTTAATGATGGAGTATTCTAAAAAAATTGCATACTTTTTGTTAAGCATCATGTATACCAAAATTTCACTGTTTTTGACAAATATACTTTTCCACAAAGTCACTGTTTGTGCATGTCAACAAACAGGTTCATCTCGAGTTCTATACATAAAATTTGTTTTGCTATATAAAAATTTAATACCCTACCATCTAGGGGTCGTTACTCCAATATGAGTTCTTTTTGCAATTACAAAATCACTCTATCTAAGATGTGAGCAAAGATTCCTACCGGAAAAATATGGGGAAACAAAAAAACTTATTACATGGAACACTCTGCGGCCGTAAACCCAAAATTATCTGTTTGTTTTTTTGGGGTGGAGGTGGTTTGGGATAGGGACAATAACTCGGGAAGATGGATTAGGCAATTTTTTTGTTTAAATGGATACTTTTTTATATGAGCAAGTATGTCAAAAGTTCGAGTTTTGTTTCAGTGAAAATTCTCTTTGCAAAAGAATTAGTACTTATTTTGGATCTAACTTGTTTATTTGAAGCAGAGAACGGTGAGTAATCGACTTGTAGTCATTGAGTGTATCTAGTAGAAGAAATCAGTTCAGGTGATAACGCGTAAATTCGGATTTATTTTCACCAGTTGTGTTATGACCGCGTTTTGGGGTGTTGTGTCGTATGATCTGAATAATTTTCAGGACATTTATTAAGTAATTGCCGAGAATTAAACTATTCATTGTGCTTTTATGGTATGTATGATGTCAACCAAACTGTTACCAAAGATCAGTTAAAATTCACGTTACTTGTCTTTTTGTACTTTTTGCATTTCCCCAACCCCAATCGATGTGTAATTTTTGAAGAAATGCGTTACCATGGAATAATCTCTAGTCTCGTTTTGAGTCATAACGGCATTGCAGGCGCGTTTAAATATGAATTTAATTTCTCAGATATTTCAGGTTGGTCTTTCACATTTAATTTGAGCTTACCTTCCCAATGTGAATACATTTGTTTCCATGAAAATTATAACTCGTGACATTTTTAACGATAACATTCACCGGCGAATTATCGTGTTAAAATATTTCCCGTTTGGATTATCAGTACCCGATTTTGATGAAATAAAACAGATTGTAAATTAACAGTCGGCTCGTACTGTCAGTGAACCTGGCCAATCATTATCAAGAATTGAAAATTTTCTTATCTCTACTTGCACCCATAATATACAGGGTCGCTATTAAAGATGGAAGGTCTCACGCTTTTTTAGAGTAAACTCTGGATCTGGATGTCTATCGTGGTTGCACCAACCTAAACTGAGTTTTAAAAATGCGCCATTGGGAAAAAATGGTATTTGATTTTCTAAACCGTGTGATTATAATTATTAAAGTAAATAATCCCACGCAAAGTTATAAGGAAGTAGTGCGAGCATAAGTTTTGTGCTGCCTCGATTCGGTGGATCAACGCACGAAGACCAACATATTAGACCCCTCCTTACAAAACATATACATTTGGTTTTGTCTTTAAATTTTTTTGCAATTCTTGTTCGTCGAACACACGGATGCTAATAGTCCGGGAGCCAGTTGGCAGTTTTGGCGACCAATTGGAAGAAAGCTGGAAATTTTTTCTGTCGACTATTTAGATGTGCTGATTAATAAAATAAACATCAGCTGGCGCATTTGTGGTGGGGGTAGCCGCAGCAGCCACCCACGCATGTATAAAAAAAATAAACTTAAAATCATAGTAAGAAAGATGAATCTTTGTAGGATCGTTTATTAGCCTATGTATAAATGAAAAAAAATAGTCAGCTGACTGCGCCGCGGTGGATTATACGTCAGCTGATTGGATAAACATGTAAAAAAAACGTTAGATAAAATTAAAGTAAGAAAGCTGAATTTTGGTGAAATAATAGTTTACTACATCAGTTTTGAGAAAAAAATACTCCGCTGCAATTTCCATGGTGGGAAAGTCATCAGCTGGTTCACGAAAGATGATATGCGCCCGTATTTTGTGGCGGTCAGCTGATGACTTTTCCACCGCGGAAACTTCAGCGGACTATTTTTTTTATAAAACTGATACAGTAAACTATTGTTGTAACAAATTACAACTTTGTTAATTTGATTCTTGCTTTTTTAGAGCGAGTTTCGTGCTGCATTTATGAAAATTAGCTCGATTCGGCAATTATCGATTGAACACTTTTTATTATTTACTTTTTTTTTATTTGTATGAATACTCAGAAATTCTGTGACATTATATAATAGCACAAAATATAGGGATTCAAAAAAACAAGCTTCTTCTTCTACAGAGACAGAGTAAGTATTTGCATTTATCTTTTGTTGTCTTATTTTTTAATAAGTATTTGAATCTTCAATTACATTAATTTGTAAAATAAAAGAAATCGTGCGAACTTTTTGTTTCATAAACATCTCTATATATTTTTCAGTAAACGTGACGTCGAACAAGAAGTTGACGGTGAAGGTGACGAGAGAGCGAGTAATGCCGAGCCCGAGGATGATGCAGATGCTACTGCGGACAGTGACGGTACTCCTGGTGACCGTGATGCTCGTGACGATAATGTTGCTACCAATGACGACGAGCAAACAAATGCAGGTGCCTCTGGAAGTACTGATGACCTTGACAGAATCCTGCATTCATATATTAAAGTATTTAAAAAGTAAAAAAAAAAGAAATTTCAATCGATATCAAGCTAATTTTCATAAATGCAGCCTCCAACTCGCTCTAAAAAAGCAAGAATCAAATTAACAAAGTTGTAATTTGTTACAACAATAGTTTACTGTATCAGTTTTATAAAAAAAATAGTCCGCTGGAATTTCCGCGGTGGAAAAATCATCAGCTGACGGCCACAAAATACGGGCGCATATCATCTTTCGTGAACCAGCTGATGACTTTCCCACCATGGAAATTGCAGCGGAGTATTTTTTTCTCAAAACTGATGTAGTAAACTATTATTTCACCAAAATTCAGCTTTCTTACTTTAATTTTATCTAACGTTTTTTTTTACATGTTTATCCAATCAGCTGACGTATAATCCACCGCGGTGCAGTCAGCTGACTATTTTTTTTTCATTTATACATAGGCTAATAAACGATCCTACAAAGATTCATCTTTCTTACTATGATTTTAAGTTTATTTTTATTATACATGCGTGGGTGGCTGCTACGGCTACCCCCACCGCTATCTAGCCAGCTGACGTTTATTTCGTTAATCAGTGCATCTAAATAGACGCCAAAAAAAATTTCCAGCTTTCTTACTATAACGACCCTCAAATGTCAGCTGGCTCCCGGACTATAATTATTAAGCCGGTTCCTTGCAGAACTATAGAACTGAGTTGAAGACTAGCAGCTGTGGTCCCTTTTTTATTATGGTGATTTTTGGTGGTAATTTCATGGATAAACAAAATAATTAATCACCCTTATATCTATACTCTCTACCACAACATCTAACATTATGTTAGATATGTTTATGTTACACACTGTATAAGAAACGTGAAAGAAACATCATAGTTTTCATTTTGAACAAAACTTTTAAAGAATTTATTCTTTTAGAAATTTCTGGAAAGTGACGTTGTTGAATACAATCGAATTCTGTTAAGTTTAATAAATAATGTCACGAAGTAGAATGCGCCATAATGGCGCCGTTATGGTACAAAAGTTTTTTTATGGAGGATAGCCACCATTCTGATCTTATTTTGTATGAGTTAATTATTAGTTGCAAGAGGGGGTTAACCCCCAATTACATATACAAGCGCATAAAAGGTGGAAATGTTATTTTCAATTGGGGGTGCCCCAAAAAAGCGATGCGCTAATTTTGCGTATCGGAAATGGTAATTAGCGTACGGAAAAGGAGTTCCACATTAGGTTATCTCACACACGCAGGGCCGGCTCGTGGGGTGAGGCGGCGAGGCGGCCGCCTCAGGCGGCATAACCTTAGGGGCGGCATTTTTGAAATTTAAAAATAAAAAAAAATGTTTTATTATAATAATGTAGTATAATAATAAATCTTTGTAATGCCCATTGACTGAAAGCGATTATAAAATATAGCCAGGCCACAAATTTGCGATATAATATGTAATAGGATAGCATGGTTTTTTTAATTAGTTTATTTCACAACGAATAAGCTAGCGCCGGCGGTGTTACACCAATGTCGCTGCTTCGCTTATTACTGCTTAATCGTTATAGACGGGAAGGTAAAAAAAAACCTTTAGAAATACTGGTAGTCCAGTATGTTAGATAATTTTGACCTACAAAACGTGGTGTAAAAGAGTTTATTGTTTTAAATGGTCCATTTGGGTCCAAATCACATGTATTGGAAGAGTACACACAAATTTTTTCCCGGCACAACTTTTGGCAGCCAAAAAACCTCAAAATATTCGGACTTTTTTCAGTTTTTCGCTTAAAACTCGAAAACGGTCCATATTTTATGAATAACACTTTTGAGTAAATTAAAGAAAACAAAATTCTGCGTCGATAAAAAAAAACAAACAAAATCGGTCCCATAGAAAAATTTTTACAAGCGATCAAAAAACGCCCTTTTTTCTACGATTTTATTTAATTTTCTGGTTGTTTGGTGGTACTTGTATTAAAGAACCAATTAACAAACAAAAAACCTTTTGCCCTTTTCATTCGGGCGGCAAAGTTTGCGCTTGCCTCACCCATATTTTTTCGACGAGCCGGCCCTGGGCTTGTGGCAATTGCTAATACAAATTTTAGCTGAAATCGGAGTTGCCTCTGAAGCCTGGAAGCATTATCGATTCAATACCATTCGCGAAAGAGGATAGAAATTCTGGATCTTGCATTGTTTCCGGATGGGGAGTTAAATCTTTTGTAAAGAAGAGAAAACTAACTTTTAACCGAATACGCACTAACTTAATGTTCTAGGGATCAAAGAAACCCACCATATACCTCTATTGGGCAAACATGGAGATTTACCCTTTGTCTGAATGCGCGATTCAGTATGAGCTAGCCGGTACTCAAATCACAAACGGCATGGTGTGCGCAATGTCAGACAAACTGGAAGGGGCTTGTCAAGTAAGTATCATGTTGCTGACAAAATAGTTTTCAAAAACTCATTGACAGGGAGATTCTGGAGGGCCACTAACTTGCAATGGAGTCCTCATGGGAATTGTCTCATTCGGCGTGGGTTGTGCGCACAAGACCTATCCTGAGGTTTTCACTAATGTGGCTTACTACATCGATTGGATCGATTCGACAATTCGAAAAGTCGATACAACTACGTCGACTTCCGTTGCTAAACCAATTGTTACCACACCATCTGTTATTGATATGAACACCACCGCTGCACCACCTAAACATAGGGATAGTACCACGGGTAGCGGTAACTCAGCCTCATTACCAGTCATATCTTCAAATATGAGTTTATTACTACTATCGTTGTGTATGTTCAGCTACAAAATAATGTCAGCAGTTAATTGATCTCGTGGACCTTTGTGAATATCATCATATACAGGGTGATTCCTATAGTACCTGCCACCGTTTGGGAGCGTGTAGGTGGTGCGTAGGGGAGTATTTTGATATAGCACACTTGGGGTCGGAAATCTAAAATAAGGGTGCCAGAGCCAAATTTACCTTCTGGAATTTCGCGCCTGTAGGTAGGCAACCCAACCGGCCGGCGGTGCACACGGAGCGATCTCAGGCGGCGATGTGTGGCTGACACTTGATCAGAATTTTGTTTAAACCCACGAAATCCCGTCTGCAACGACGCGTATCAAGTGAATAAACACTATGGCAATAGTATAATAATAGTTGGCTAGATGTAGGAAGTGCATTGAGAACAACGGTGGCCACGTTGAACGCTTGTAAACGTTGTTGCTTTTGACTGTCGTTTCCCTCCTTCCCTCCCATGTCGCTTCCTCGCGCTAACTCGCTCTGCATCGCTCCGCGCGAAACGTCGGTCGGTTGGGTTGCCTACATACAGGCGTGAAATTCCAGAAGATAAATTTGGTTCGGGCGCCCTTATTTTAGATTTCCGACCCCAAGTGTCCTATATCAAAATACTCCCCTAGGCACCCCCTATACGCTCCCAAACGGTGGCAGGTACTATAGGAATCACCCTGTATATGAATCCTAAGTTACCTAAACAAACGTATAAACAAATATAGCAAACGAGCTATGGCTATAGCATGGCTATAGCATGCTCAACTTATGGAATTGGCTATAAATCTATGCCCATACTGAATTTCATGCAATTCGGTTCATAAGTAACAGATATGTCAAAAGGGCATTCCTTATTTTGTGACCTACACTACCCATTCACGAACTGCGATCTACAAATTTGATAAAGAATCTACCTACAAAATTTCATCGTAATCGGTCCATTCGTTATCGAGATATCGTGGTAACAGACGGACAGACACCGAAAAATTATAAGCTCGTTAATAAAATAATTAAGTAAAGATGAAAGGTTACTGTAAAATGTAAACAAACTATAAACTATTTTAATTAGATTTATTTATTTTATTTTATTTATTTTTGCCTTTATTTTTGAGTGGACAGGGTTTCAGCCGATGCTGCTCTACCAGCCCAACCCACTATACATTTACAATTATCCATGCCCAAACCCGGATGTTCGAACCAGGGACCCTTAGTACCGACAAGCGAAATATGAAGTTGGAATTTTTAATTACCTAACTCAAAGAAATAAGTATTACCCCTTTTAGCTGATTGCCCTTCCATTTGATACACGATTAACGACCCTGAACTGAATGAACTTAGCTAACTTCAATACTATGCTGATTATAACTACGGTTCCTCAGCCTTCGGGTCATATTTAATTTAGAATATTGCAATCCGTCTTCTAGAAAAAAATGTATCTATAAATCTAAAGTAACTCTTTCTCGTAAAACGTATTTAACATAAAACAAGTATAAATTGTGCACGACTCTTGTGCAGATAAAGCGCATTTTTTTAACCGAAATAGCTTTTGTTTTGACATCACCAATGGATACGTTTCTGGCAGACGTCTCAATCGCCCTTTGTGAGTACTCTCTTCCGACAATCCCTTCTTGAGGTATAAGGGAATATACCCGATCACGATAAGAGATCGAGGAGGAGGGCTATGGATGGTAGAAATTAATTGCTTTCGTTGAGACCTTCCATTAGAATACCATGAAGGATAAAACTAGTTCCACTCCCCCCCCTTCCCCTCCCCCCTCCGGGCAGTAGTTGGTAGAAAACGGTTCCTTTCTTTGAGACCTTTAATTAGAATACAATGAGAGATAACATTAATTTTAACCCCCCCCCCCCCCCTCCCTCGCTCACTGATCTCGAACAAGAGTCGCACGGGAATGTTATAGTTTGTTGTACAAAACAATTGATTTCGATGAGACCATAAAAACATACAAATTTAGCACTATAGACCGGACGTAAGTATTGGTATGGCACCTCTACCTTCGATCTTATTTTCTGGTAGGCAGTGAAATTAGCCAAAATTCTTCCGTTGAAATCAGAGACGGTTTTTTTTCGATTTCTTCGGAAGTATCGTCCGAACACAAAGTTCGTACCAAAACCGTAACCACAGTTTCAGCGAAACAGCAATACATTCGAACGACGAATTTAGCATATTTATTACCTTCAGAATATTTTCTCAACGACGAATACACGTTCACAACTGTGTCAATGGCAATGACCATTATTCGCACACCGCGCATAAATACAGGATAGACTGAGGAGGCTAAACTATAAAGTTCTAGTTTACGTTAAAGAGAAATATTAATGAAACAAGTATGAATTGTGCACAACTCCTGTGCAGATAAATCGAGGAGATCGCGGAGGAGGGCTATGGTTGGTAGAAATGAATTCATTTCGTTGAAATCTTTCATTAGAGTACCATGAAGGATAAAACTAGTTCCACTCCCCCTCCCCACCGGCCCGTACTTTGATAAGAGGACAGAAAGAAGGGCCGTAGTTGGTAGAAATTAAAATACAATGAGAGATAAAATTAATTTTTAACTCCCCTCAACCCCTCAGGCCCCGTCACTCACTGATCTCGAAAAAGAGTCGCACGGGAAAGTTATAGTTTGTAAAAACTACTTTATTTCGATGAGACCTTTCCCGTGCGACTCTTTTTCGAGATCAGTGAGCGACGGTACCTGAGGGGGGGGGGGGGGAAAAATTTTTTTATCTCTCAATGTATTATAATTAAAGGTCTCAACGAAAGGAACCGTTTTCTACCAACTACAGCCCTTCATTCTGTCCTCTTATCAAAGTACGGGAGGAGGGGGAGGAGGGGCCGTTTTATCTGTCATGGTACTCTAATGAAAGGAATTAATTTCTACCAACTATAGCCCTCCTCCTCGACCTTTTATCGTGATCGGGTATATTCCCTTATACCTCAAGAACGGATTGTCGGAAGAGGGTACTCACAAAGGGCGATTGAGACGCCTGCAAGAAATATATCCATTGGTGATGTCAAAACAAAACCTATTTCGATTAAAAAATGCGCTTTCTCTGCACAAGAGTTGTGCACAATTTATACTTGTTTTTAATTCTTAAAAAATGCGCTAAAAACATCTTTATACTACAGCTGCAATTTCTTCTGACTGATCTGTTACCATTTGTTTGATCCGGACGTGTTTGCAGGATCTTTGGTGTAGTAGTCGTAGGGACTCTTATAGGTTTTGTATGTGGGCTTCTGGTGTTTGCTGAATATTATATCTTCGGATCTGGTACTATACCATTGCTATTCTTCTACAGTTTTGGTTCGATTGTTTTCAAGTTGGTGTCGTCGGAAAGATCTAGTAAACGCGCACAATTCTTGCGTGACGGAATTTTGTTTTTAACGGATTTTTTAAGAATTAAAAAAAGGTGCTATTGTTTGCGTTTTGTCCGTCCGTCCGGACCCACTTCTGCCGTTTTGAACTACTTCTAGGGGAATGGTTCTAGAGTCCTGGAATTTTTTGCAGTAGGTAGCATGTACCTTGAATTGTGTCAGACGGCCATCAAATTTCGCTGTCTAAAAGGGGCCCCCCCACGAATTATTTCCTGAGATGCTGTTTTTGAAAGTAAAACATGCATAACTTTTACATACGACAACCAATTGGTCTCAGATTTTGCATACGCATGCCTTTAATGGTGCCAAGTTAAACTTTACTTTACAAAATGACGGGGGGAGGGGGGGGGGTAAACACATAACAAGTTACGAAACAGCTTCCTTTGGCGACGCTAAAATATAATTCAGTTGGATAAATTTCCTCTGGATAACGATCGTGTTATGACAATGATTTCTAGCCTCTAAAATGCCAACAACAACCACATAAGGATAACAACTATAAATTGTGCACAACTCTTGTGCAGATAAAGCGCATTTTTTAAACCAAAATAGCTTTTGTTTTGACATCACGAATGGAGATATTTCTTGCAGACGTCTTAATCGCCCTTTGTGAGTACCCTCTTCCCACAATCCGTTCTTGAGGTGTAAGGGAATATACCCGTTCACAATAAGAGGCCGAAGAGGAGGGCCTATGGTTAGTAGAAATGAATTCCTTTCGTTGAGACCTTTGATTAGAGTACCATGAAGGATAAAACTAGTTCCATAGAATGAAGGACAGTAGTTGGTAGAAAACGGTTCCTTTCGTTGAGACCTTTAATTAGAATACAATGACAGATTAAATTAATTTTTACCCCCCCCCCCTCCCTCCCTCCAATTGGTTATCGTATGTTGCAAAAGCTATGCACGTTTTACTTTAAAAAAACAGCGCATTTTTTAAGAATTAAAAAAAAGTGCTATTGCTTGCGTTTTGTCCGTCCGTCCGTCCGTCCGATCAAATTTCGCTATCTAAAAGACCCCCCCCCCCCCCACCACGAATTATTTCCTGAGATGCTGTTTTTGAAAGTAAAACGTGCATAACTTTTGCATACGACAACCAATTGGTCTCAGATTTTGCATACGCATGCAATGAGGGGGGGGGGGAAACACATGTTCTTCCCTTCATGGTATTCTAATGAAAGGTCTCATCGAAATAAATTGGCTTGTAGAAACTATAACTTTCCCGTGCGACTCTTTTGGGAGTGGAACTAGTTTTATCCTTCATGGTACTCTAATGAAAGGTCTCAACGAAGGGAATTAAATTCTACCAACCATAGCCCTCCTCCTCGACCTCTTATCGTGATCGGGTATATTCCCTTATACCTCAAGAAGGGATTATCGGAAGAGGCTACTCACAAAGGGCGATTGAGACGTCTGCAAGAAATATATCCATTGGTGATGTCAAAACAATTTATACTTGTTTTTCCTAGGGGCGAAATTAACCACCTTTTGCAAGGCGCGCGCCTACGAGGGCGACTTTGGGCGCCCAACAGTTTTTTAGTGCTCTTATAGAGGTCTTTCTTTTCCGTGTCGCCAATAGAAGCTCGAGCTATAAGTTGCGTACTATTTTGTGGCGGATGGACGGGACTTTGGAACTAGGTACCTACAGAGAGAATCTGGTAGCCCCCGAGGTAAAGTTAAAACTTGAAACGCGAATTGGGAGTGAACGCGACGTCTCAGTGGAATGGCTATATGAAAAGCTGAAGACACCGGGACATTGCAATATTTTACAAAATATTCATATTTACATTAAATATTATGAACGGGACGTCGGAAGTGAGTACCGACAGGGGGAATGTGGTAGCATTGGACAAGATCTTATTGATGGTGGAGTCAAAACTTTAAACGTGAATTGAGAGTGCACGAGGAAAGTGGGAAGCGGGTACCGACAAAGTGAATGCAGTAGCCTTCGACAAGATCTTTTATTGATGGTTGACTCAAAAGTGGCCAATAGGATACTGATCTGCCTAACAAAAATGCGCTGAAGTCCCTACGATCTCACACGAGGACTTTGATAATTTTTTTAAAATATAGCCTTTTCACAAAGCCCTGAATGGTGACGCGGGAAGAATGCCCTGTTACGCTAACCCTATTGTAGGTAACATACCTACGTAAAATGGAAACTGGTTTTAGTATCTTGAGGTAGGTATACTACAGTGAATTCTGAAGGAGGTCCATTAATCATTCAGAGATTTCTTCGGAGCTAGCTCTTCATGATAGCCGCGTGATTATTGCAAATCTCTAACGGAAACAAATTTTGGTTCAATAAAGCTACATTGAATTTATATTGGGATGTATTCATTCATTCCCGATTCGCCCATTTTCACGGGAGCGAAAAATCGAGTTTTTCGCTATCTGGGGTGCGCGTTTCATGCACCTGGTGCTTCATCCACCTTTAAGTTAATTACCTAATAAAAAATTGTGAATGAGCCAAACTCTGCTCGATATCCACTCAACCTAAAAATGCAAATCCAACGAAAATGTTATACCCACCGGAAGTTGTAAACGAAGCAAAGCGCAGGTGTAGAGGTAGATTAAGAAATCGGTCTGGTTCTAAAAGGCCATATGTTCAACTTTCAATAAAAACCCAGAATCATCCATGTGTCATCTGCACCGATTACATTATACACTAAACTGATTTAAATATGATGTAGCAATTTACGTTATGATGTGCACCTCTTCAATACACATGTCGGTTAAAATGTGAATAAAAAACGACTTGGGGGCACGTGAAACGTTAAAACAAATAAACTTCCGGTGGCAGTTGTATATTAACTCATTTAATTCCAACTCTATTTATAGTCCAAAATTAGGTACATCTTAGCATGGGTTAAACGCATCTTTCGAAATCCGAAATACAAATCATTAATTTTGGAAAATTCTCTGTTCCACCGGCTTCTTTTGTGGTGGTACTCAAACCGGCCTAAGGTGCGGAAGGAACGCTTCCTGTTTTAAAGAAGTTAATAACGAAATACCTACGCTACCGGCTACCAAAAGGGAAGCCAGCCGCACTAAGCAGGGGGTATTTTTTGTGTGTTATGTACTTGCGCACTACAGGGCATGTGTTCCCGTAACAAAGTAAATACTAAGATCAATAAGTTAGTAGGGTGCGTTGTGCATGTCGTTTTGTGATCAAATTTGTTAATGTAGCGCGGCGTGCTTTAATTTAACAAAAAAATATGGAAACTACCGAAAAGAGCGACGACAAAAAAATCATCGAATTAGAAGAGCGAGAGAAGATATTAAATTCGGAGAACAAAAGCTCTTCGCCGCCGATACTCGAAATCGAAAACGGAATCAAACTAAATAAGACTGATATTAAAGAAGGCCGAGAGGTACAACCAAAGAAGATACCGATCGGTGGTATACAGATGCCTGGATTTTTTACGAGGAGCAAATCGAAGGAAAGGTGCAAGGTGCGATTTTTAAAACTTTGTTGTTTCTGTTTCGTAAATTAGGGGTTGTAGGATACGGAAAATGATCAAAATAGTGAGACTGAAGGGGTTGAATTATTGCAAGCGAAGGAGGAAGAGGAAGTTAAAGGACCGCAAACCCGTATTAAATTGCCAAATCCGTTTAGAAAGTCAAAACTGATTAATGAAGATGAAGGTGAGGTTTTTTTGTACTTTTTTTTGCGATAATTGCACTGCAGGTAAATTTGACTCAAATTGCATATGAAAGAATCGATTTTAATGCGATTTTGCTGCGTCGACGGTTTAAAATTTTAAATGAATCCGAATGTAATTAGCACCGAGCGGTATCGTCGTAAATCGGTAAATCCAAGAAAAATTATTGATACCAAATCAAAATATTTACTTTGTAACTTGGTTACGACCTTTTATACAATATAATACTACGTTTAAGCTTTGAAAATAAACAAAGGCTTATGTCGAGGTTTAAGCAGAACACAAATCACTACAAAACAAGTTATAAATTTAACTTAGGCATTAAGTTTCCACGTAGGTATTTCCAATGGATTTTATATACGAAGTTGAAATAAGACCTTTAATCAGAATTTTCCATATGAAAGGAGATGTAAATGTTTTTTTTTCAATTTATCATTTATTGTTTTATTCTATAACAAAATAGATGTCCAGATATGGGCATAATTTTAAATTATTCACCATTTTTTTTGGGGAAACGGAAAAACAAATTGCTATGATTAACAGGAGTTAAATTTTGTGCTCTTCATTTTAGTTAATTCGATTGCAAAATTTGCAATTATTCACAAATTTCGTCGGGCAACGGGCAAAACACATATTGACTTGATGCATAAGAACTACCTAGATTTTGTGGTCTTCTTGTTGTACTCAATTTTTGGTTACTTATTCACCAATTTAATCGGAGAAACTGCAAGGTACATTGCTTCGATGCACAATAATTTACTTCCTCTCGTCTTAGTTAATTTGTGGGCTATTTCGTTCGTCAAAAATGTACTATCGTCTGTAACGGGCTTAGTTACATTTGCAAGGCTCGAAGACCCCACTTCAATAAAATAAAATTGAACCTCTACGCCACTAGCAAAAAATTTTATATGACAATTAATTTTGAGCAACGGCTAGCTCAGTAATAAAAACTTTTTTCAAACCCTATACCTAAGGGGGGGATTTTAGACATTAACATTTAAAAGCCGTCTGGCATACATTCAAAATCTACGCTATATAGTGCAAGAAGAATCAAGCCCTTAGAGAAATTTTCCAAAATATGGTTTTTCCTTTTGTAGGTACTTTCTTCCAACATTTTCCAGATTTTCATGATTAAGATTTCACATGGCCAGTCGATGTGTCTCGATCTTTCCGCCCTTTGCGAGTACCCTCCTCCGCCACTCTGTTCTGCAGTTTTGACATCCTTTGTGAGTACTCTCCTCCGACAAACCGATATTCGCTGTTTAAAGTTTTCACATCACCAGACGTCCCAATCGCCCTTTGGGAGTACCCTCCTCCGACAATCTGCTCTTGAGACGAGGAGGAGAAGTATGATTGGGAAAAAATAATTTCTTTCATTGAGACCTTTCATTACAGTACCATGGAAAATAAAGGCAGCCCCTCCCCTCAATTTTGATAAGTGGTAAGCGAAGGGCGGTAGTTGGTAGAAAACAGTTCCTTTCACGAGACCTTTAATTAGAGTATCATGAAAAATAAAAACCAATTTCTATCCCCCCCTCGCCGTCTGATCTCGAAAAGGAGTCTGAAGACAGTGTTTGTAGAAACCAATTCCTTTCGATGATACCTTTCATTAGGATACCATGAAGGGTAGAACGTGTGTTTACCCCTCCCCCCTCCCAAATTTTCAAAATATTTACATGTCACCACTATACAGGCATGCGTATACAAAATCTAAGACAAATTGGTGCCCCATGTAAAAGTTATGCACGTTTTACTTTCAGAAACAGCATCTCGGGACATATAATTAAGGGGGGGGGCTTAGGAGAACAAAATGTGAAGGTCGTTTGGCACACTTTCAAGGTATAGGCTACCTAGTGCAAGAAATTCCTTCCCGGTAGGGCAATTCCCCTAAAAGTAGTTTAAAACCGCACAAGTGGATCCGGACGAACAAACGGACGGACGGACAAACCGCAAACAATAGGACATATTTTTTAATTCTTTAAAATGAATTAAACATTCAAGTAACTTACGTTTATCGATGAGTTGAAGCAGTCTCGCATTGACAACTGATTTTTTCCTTTGGAAGGCAGCAGTTATTTAGAAAATTGGGTCGTGGGACCCCTTTTGGCAGTGATTGACGAATTTTAAATCGGCAAAGCCGTGTTTCAGGTTCCTCACAATTTATTAGTTCTAATTTGCTTTATTTATTGAAAAAAATGGTCCGCAGTATTGACATATCCAAAATTACCCTCGAAATTACCTTTATACCGCTACCGAAAGCACAAATTAATTCATTAACCTTTTCGCCAATTACAACCACCTCGTGTAAACAAATTAGATGCACAACTTTGATTAATGAACTGGTTTTTCAACTTAATCAGCCCCTCCAAAAAATAGCGCAATGCAATTTTTTGCAGCTTGGACCTTAACGCTTTCGTGGTAACAATGTATTTCAATGCGAGCATCACAATCCAGCAATGCATCGGAGCGAAAACCCATCGCACTGTTCACAGTTGAAAATTATACCAGCCCTCCAGTAGTTTTTCCTACTCGACGAAGTCCCCTTGTTGCTTAAACCTAAGTTCTTCGAAACATTGTGGCGCAAATTTTCGGGTGCGAACACACTGCGGTTATACGGCTTTGGGAACAGGGAAAACGAAAGGGAAAGGAAAATGGGTTCAAGCGTTGCATAGTTAACAAAAAAAATCAGGCGAATCTGAAGAAACGAAATAATCCGAAGGGGAACGGCTCTAAGCGTCTAAAAAATTCGAAGAAACAGAAGAATCCAAAAAATTGGAACAATCGAAGAATTTCAAATTAAAGAAGCAAAGAAGTCGTCATCCCCAAACATTACGACAAAATCTCAATGAACTGAAGGATCAGCTGAATTCTGAATAGTCTAAAGAATCCGAATCTGAAGCACTCGGAAGTAAAACATTTTAAAGGATCTAAAGATTTGTTGAAGCGGAAGAATTATTTTTAAAAAATTTGAAAAACCTAAACAGCTCGGAGAAAGGAAAACATACCGACGAATTTGAAGAAACTGAAGACATTAACGCATTTAATAATATTATGAATTCGAAGAAACAATAGAATTGAAAGAAGAACTTGAAACGTGAATAATAAAAATTTGAGAATTCCGATTGAATCGGATCGAAAAAAACCCGAAAAATCTGACAGATACAAAGAAACTGAAAAATCCGAAGAATCTGAAACATTTTACTCATCTGAAGATTTTACGGAACCGGAACAGAAAAATTTTGGGAATTTGAGAGTATGAAGGATCAGAAGAAACTGAAAAATGAAAGGGTTTGAAGAATCTGCAGAAAAAGGCAAAGTAGGTATTAAAAGGAGGCGAATAAACTCAATAAACCAGAACCAAAGAATCGGAGGAACCTGAACGAACTGAAGGATCAGAAAAATCTCAAATCTTGAAGGAGTGTGAGGAATCCTGGAAATATGAAGAATCGAAAGAACTGGAAGAATTTTATTAACAATGTGAAGAAACTGAAGAATTGGAGAAAAATTGAGAATTTAAAGAATTATCGAAGATTTGAGAAAATCTGATGAACCTGAGGAATCTGGTGGAGAAGCTGCAGAAGCAGAAACGATAGATTCCTAAAGAATGAAAGCTTTTGTAAAGCCCCAATAGACGAAATAAACTGAACAATATGTAGGATGTGAAGAAACCAAGATACTTCAAAATTTTAGTAAATTAAAGGAAAGGATTTGGAACCTTCAAAAAATTAAAAGAATGTTGAAGTATTGAAGTATCTGAGGAATCTGAAGAACCTGTCGATTTAGGAGAGGATGACACACATGAATGTAAAGAATGGAGAGAAGAAATAAAATAAAAATGAAATGAAGGTATGGGAAGGGTCGGAAGAATAAGCACCAGGTTGCTAATCTACGTAGAGAAAACGCACTCTCCTAATCCGCACATGTACGTAAACTTGCGAACTTCTTTACGATTCCACTATCCCCTTCGGTAATTGCTCGTTCTTCTTCATTTTCTCATCTCACTTATTTTATACCTAGCCTAATGCAGTTTTGAGGTAGATCATTCGTGAGATCTCCTTTCTATAGATATTCGGATGTCCATATAACAAATCTGCAAAATAGATATGCGTTTGCTCCACAGCACGTTATGAGGATTTTAGACCCAATGGTAATTAAAAATGGTAAGTATAAATATGTAGGTAATATAAATAGATCTCGCGTCGTTTTATGAAAAGTTTGAACTAGAGATCTCGCGAGGTTTATCAGTGAAAAGGGATACATACCTTTAATTAATAATAATATAATATTTATGTAACTATTGAACGATTCTATTTCAGGTGAGAAAACACCCGAACCGAAAGAGAAAAAGAAATTACTAAATACGATACGACTACCTTTAGTCTCAGTTTTTCCAAGGAAGAAAAAAGAGGATCAAATAAGCAATCAATCGGCTAAGGCCGGTTTGGCGTCTATAGAAACACTAGATGAGACTGATAAAAGTGCTGATAGAAAAGAAGACGACTTAAAGAATGTTTGTTTGGACGTAAATATTGACGTATGTATAAGCCACTTAGGCGATTTTTAATTATCTATACTTTTACTTAAAGCAGGAAAAATGCGAGCTAGAAAAACAGCAGCCCGTAGAGCAACCCTCTTGGAAGCATAAAGTGAGAGCTTATCGCATTATTATAAGTAAGTGTACCTATTTAATGAACGTTTATTAATAGACTGCACCCTCTTGTTAATCTCGGCACCTGTTGCAACTAATTTTAAGATCATCCATTAATGGATGGGAGGGAAGGTAAGACGGAATTATTGTTAGAAAATCAAAAATGACTAATAGAGTAACCTCCTCCCCCACCCCTTTTCTAAAATAATTATTGATCTATAAAATGTTGTGTTATTTTTGTTTTAGTTGTAACTTGAAAGAAATTATAGAGCGTCTGGATGTGACAATTTTGTTTAGTTCAATTAATTAACCGGGGGGGTTTTTAATAATTTGAGACACAGGATTGCGTAAATTTCATGTTATAGTTTTGGTTCAATTTCTTAGAAGTGTTCTGTTTTTATTTTATTCCTAGAATTTTTTTCGATGTAAATTTCTTTTTAAATTTTATTTTGCCGTTAACGAGGTATAGCGCGAAGTAGAGATAAGGTTCTTCGCAGAATTGCCGGGCGTACGTGCCGTTTAGCAAGAAGTTGAAAAATCGACGCTTCGCGTGATTGGCGGACGGGATGTTGAAGAAAGGAGAAGGGCTTTTGGCTTAAATAGAAAATTTTGGAAGAGAGCGGGGCTTTTTGGTCGTTACAAAGCCAACCGGCGCTTCTTCGGTTACGTTATTTTTTTGAATTTTGTGGAAGTTTTCCTGCGTAGTTGGATCCAGGTTTAATTAGAATTTTGTGTCTGCCGTTTTAAGAAGAATTATTGAGAAGTTTAAGAAGTTTGTCGTCGTCCTGTTTTTTTTTTTATTTTGCGGAAACGCGGAAGTTTTGAATTTGTGGGTACCCGAAGAGAGAAGACGTCGGTGTTTGAGTGGTTGGTTTACGTGATTGTGTACGGATACCTCTTTTTATCGGAATACGTTATTCGGACTAATTTTAAAAGTAAGTAGTAGTTAGTGTTTTGTTTTGTCATGTTTTTTTTTTTTGTAATGTTTGAGTAATTTGTTTTTTTTTTGTGTGTGTCATTTATCTGTTTAAAATTGTAACAATTTGTAAAACAGAAATTTACGCAATTTTTTGTCTGAAATTAAACCAGTCATTGCAATCCAGGTTTTGTTTATTAGAGTCAAGGAGAGGTAATTGTCGGCGTCTCTTACTTTGTTTCAAGTTGATTAAATCTGGGGGTAAAGTTTCATATTGGAATTTAAGGATTTGGTTAAGCCACCTATTTATGTCATTGTTGGAATGCTGTAGGGTGGCAGAATCCAGCTGGACCTTGAGATGCGGGTAAAATTTTGTTTTCATTTTAATTTCAACTGAGCTAGCTAGAGGTAAATCGTGGGATTCCCAGAAGTGAAGGTTAGGTCTCACAACAATATACGTATGTGTATACGGTGTCTTGCATTTTTACCCTTCTAGTAGGTAATCCCTTCGTTGAAACTTGGTAGACAACGACGCCACTGTCAAACGTTGTATCGATTGCGTCCTCATATTTTCCAGATGTCACCCAAGCGCGAATTTCTTTTCTGCTGAAGGTATATACAATAACCAATGATCTAAACATACCTTTTTTCCATTTTCTTATTTCATTCCGACAAAGGGGTTTGTTTGTGTGCATTCGCGGCTTATCTGACTTCGTAATCTGTTATTCTATAAGTGATTCATTTCCCTTCTTGCTTATATTCCCCAGTACCTCCAATTACCTAAAACGATCGCCCATCAGCATCAGTACAAATTACAAAGCGCAAGGGGGGATGTGAATTATGTTTGATACTATCTAGGTTTTATTGGCCTAATTCTGTGGATAATGGGCTGTTGTCATAGATATGTTATTGATTAATTGTTGACAAACCGAAAATGGATTTCAAGCCGGCATGGTGTACCAAAAACTGTTTTGGTAAGAAAAATTCTAATATTGTTCAAAATAAGTACTTAAATTAAATTAGGATGTGTGTTAATACTTAATTTCTTTGCAGGTGCCTTCCTTGTTTTGATCATGTTTATTATTATCATAGTAACTGTAACTTTACCAATAGCACCAGAGCATTCAGTGGCGATTAGGGATGGAAGATTTGTGGAAACTATTACTAGTTGTGGAAAAGTTGAAGGGTATGTATTTTATTATTATCTATAATTGCCTAACTTCAAAACAAACGGTAAATGAATTTATTTAAACAATATTCGAAGATTTATTTAATTGGCGTGCGCCTAATGCATCGTTCTATCAGGAAATTTACTTTTCTTATCAAGATGTAACTGACACCTCTTCCTTTAGTAACGGCTACAGTTTTTTCAGCTTATGTAATTTTAATGTTTCCCATGGCGAAACTAAATTTTATGACAGGGTCACCGTACTCCATACACCAACTCAATTGGGTGATATCAAATTTTAACTTTTTTCAGTGATCTGTTCGAAATGTTGCATTAGTTACATTTACAGGGGTTGGAAGCCCCCACTTAAAATAAATTTTAATCTCTACGGCACGGGTTAGAATTTTCCTATAACAATTAATTTTTTGTAATGGCATAAATAAATCCACGGCTAGCTCAGTAATAAGTAAAATTTTAATGGATCTTAGTCTTCCTAGGTGACTATTGCGATCACCGCCGATTTTTTGGGGATGTCGTCAAATGTCGACGTTTTAGCTAATTTTTAGCAATTTTCAAAGAATATAATTTTCTCTGACGTATGTATGTAAGCACGTATGGCAATTTTCTGAGAAAACGGTTCGTCGGATTTTGTTCAAAATGTGGAAATCGTAAATGAAAAAAAAATTTTGGAGCGCGGCGACGGCAAATTTCTTTCTTTTGATATGTACATAACCTACAAAAATTATGCTACGTTTTACTACAAAAAAATGGAGAACAAAAATGTCAAAGTTATAAAACTAAAATATTTTTTTTGTTATTGGTTAGTGTCTTTTTGAACTACCAATCCCAGATGTTTTCAAAGTTAACGAAATTTTAAAAAATGCACATTCAGCAATCTCCAAACCATGTTGAAAGTTGGAGCTCAGAATTGCGTATTTTAAGGGCTTATATATGGTTCCTATTTGCAAATGAAACGTTTAATGTTGACACTTGGAGTTCAGAGTTTCAAACTAGACCTTTTGTTCAATATTATAAACCTGTAATAGGTAAATTCTTTTCGGTCCAGCTACAAATCTGTGCCATATGATATCGGATAAACCAGGATCAAACACGGAACAAAAGGATGAATGTAAATTAGTGATCGGTAATCTAGATCGCTACAGGTCGAGCTACAGGTGTTGCTGGTGATTCTGGTAGAGTACCTTTATCAACGAGTGTAGATTGAAGGAATCCGTCACGTCAGTTAAACTTTTGAGATTACCTGTGCAAGATAATGCATTCACATTGAAGTCACCACAAATATAAGGATTATCCTGTATCTGTCAGTTAAAAAAGTCAGTAAGTTTAGTAATCTATTTAAAAATGGATTATAGTCATCCTTTGGAGAGCGATATACAGTGCCTTCGAGATAAGAGGGTTTCCTCAATATCTCTTTAATTTGACGAGATAAGAAAAATTTGTCAAATATAATTTTACATAGTGCCATGTTTCCCTAAAACTAACTGTGGAAAACGCTAAACACACATTTTACATGACATCTACAATATACAAAAATTACCAATCCGAGGTAGTAACTCTTGAATTTGAATTAAAATCTGATGTTAATTTAATACAAATTTTGATACGCTCCAAAGGTAGCCAGCTCAAATAGATGTAAAGGAACTTCACTCGTTTCCCATTTGTGAAAAATAAAAAGTCTCTTACATCAAGTACATGAAATACGTTGTTAATTATCCGGACCTTTTTCAGTCCAGAAGGTATCTGAAGGTCCTGGATACGGTAACCTCAAACTAAAATCGTATGAATGCCGCAAAGTAATTTTAACACTCCGGTATTTACCTCTGCACGGGCGAAACAGTTAATGACATTCAAAAAGGCGATTCATACACAATTTAAGTTGTTAATCAATCTAAATGAGTATAAAATCGAGTCAATATTGACAAATGGCCAATCTCAAACAAATCAAAATAGCAATAATATTTTAAGTGAAACAAGCAAATAACAAACAAATTCATGGATTATCTACCACTAAGTTGCAAGTAGCTGAAGGCAATACAATTTATAATAATGCGAAGAATAACATTACAACTAAGCACATTTCCTTTTATTATATGTAGCGTAAACTAAGTACACGAAAATTGAATTATAAAATTAAAACAAATTCAACTGCCTTAACAACGCAGAAAGCAAAGTCACACTACATTTTACCATGAACCTATATGAACTGAACAAACTGCAAAATCAGCAACGCTATAAATTAAGATACTATTTCCTTTAGCATTGTATTGAAAGGTGAATGAAATTATTTTCTTGCTCACCTCCAGCTTCTGTGCCATTCAAATAATATTTGCAAGTTCACCTTACTGTTGTCAAGTTTCCATTAAACCCATTTCATGTTGTTCTTGAAAGTTCTTTTTAAGCTCCCTCATTGAAGTTATACCTACGAGCATAACCAAGTTCTTTTGGATATAAAAGGAACCACAAATGTTTATTAAATTTCTAAAAGGCCTTTTAGAAATTTAATAAACATTTGTGGTTCCTTTTATATCCTAAGAATTTACAACGAACCCAAAATAATGGAGAACTACATTACATATATCAAGTTCTTCTGCTCAAATAAGTTCCTCCAGGGTTCGAATCAAGTTAACCTCATGTTTACCACAAATTCTTTTCAAATTCAAGTTCCCCCTCAGTTCCTCTCACAAATTTCGGTCAGGTTCGTATTAAGTTACTCAAGTTCTGTTCAAATTTCCAATAAGTTTATCTCATATTCCATTCACGCTTTCCCTCAATTATCTCTCTTTTGTTTGCTCAACTGGGAAGTATTGAAGCGATAAACTACAACAGTTGCAAATTTTCCGCAACAAAATCCAGTGATTTATTTAAAATTAATGGACTTCCAAAAATTCAGCAACAATTACCAGTCAACTTGTTAGAAAATTAAACTTGACATCTCTATTTAATTCGTGAAAAGCTAATACTCATTGACGTTCAAAATTTAAAGACAACTTACATCAGTATAATTCCTTGAAGAGGAACTACCTACTAGTAACTTGATTAATTGAAAGGAAAAAAGTAAACGTAAATGATCCATCGGTCCAATTTCGTTACCTTCGCTACCGGCGCTGTTTGCTGTAGGTTATCTCAGATAAGGTGCTGTCATTATACACACATCTGCAGTAGTTTCCTGGCACGTTAAAGTGCAATGGACAGGAATCAATGTTAATTAAAACTCGAAGTCGTGATTAAACGTGGATGTGTCATTATAACTTCAAATTAGAATTGAACTAAAATTGAAACTGAAACCAAGAACTTATTCAGAAAATAATAATACTAATACGGTAACTGTTGAAATTTAAATTGTTTCAAACTGCGAATGACAAAACTAGAACGTTCAACAGTAACAGGTGGTTAAAGAAAATTACACTACTTACCTATTTACCTATATTTAAATCCTCCATACTGAGAGAAAAATTAACTGGAGAATTACACAAAATCCGGTTAATCGCCAGAAATAATATTTAAAGATTTTGCAATTAAACCGACATTGAATTTATTAGCGATGAACATCACTTAACTTAAACGTAATAAAAAAGGAAGTGAAAACATGCACATTCCAACAGGCGTTAAGCAAGCGCCAATAAGAATTCGCCACGAACCAAACAAAATATAATTGAAAACCACAGTGACCCCCAAACAGATTATGCGTGAAAAAATCTAAATGTCAGAAGTTCCCCTCATCTTTTCTCATAAGTTTCAAGTATAAGCGGACATTTCTTATAATAAATGGTTGCGTGTTACTAAAACGCTTTCTAGAAAGTGATTTAAAACTAATAACAAATTTTTTCAGGGTTCTTGAAGATGGGGCTGTAGCCTTCCGTGGAATCCCCTACGCTCGTCCACCAATCGGTGAGCTGAGATTCAAAGCGGCGCATCCCTTAAATTCCATCTCTTATTGCTGGAATAATACAACACCTCTGCTAACACATAACGCAACGGATTATTGCCTACAAATTTACAGCAACGGAACAACTGCAGGTACGGAAGATTGTTTAACTCTAGACGTGGTTACGCCCTACGTTCGATACGACACGCCGCTTCCTGTTGTCGTTCTTATTGGTACTGAAAGTTTAATCGGCGGTTCGCCCGGCAAAATGCGTCCGTCGGCCAGATACGCGAGGTCTCGTGACGTCATATTTGTGAGGCCGAATTTTAGGCTTGGAGTGTTGGGATTCTTAGCAGTCAGTCAGTTGACGCAGTCGGTTCATTTGCCCACCTCGGGTAACTACGGTCTGTCCGATATCGTTGAGGCGTTACGGTGGGTCCAATACAACATCGAGCACTTCGGTGGGGATCGTAAATCCGTCACATTGTTCGGTCACAGAGCCGGTGCTACACTTGTAACGGCTCTGTCTGCCATGAAAGGTGCAGAAAAGTTATTCAAACAAGCCTGGGCTACTTCTGGTGGAGCTATATATCCGGGAAAAACTCTTGTGGAGTACGAGATGGAAAATAAAAACTACATGCCTAGTATTCAATGCGAAACTGCTCAGTGTTTGTTAGATGCCGACGCCGATATGTTAGTAAGCTCTGTTATTGACACGTGGAGAAAACCTCAACCTGATTTACCGTCAAGATTAGAAGAACCGGATAAACGTCATGAGTGGTTGGTACTGGATGGTAACATTCTCAAGGAACATCCTGGAAAGGTGTGGGCTTCTGAAGAAGGCTTTCCAGTCAAACTAGTTTTGGGGACTACCGCCCATGCGGCTGCGTCGGAAACGCTATACTTAAAGTACAAATCATGGTCAGAAGATCTCGTACAACAGCACATTAAAGAGTCGAAGTTAGGGCAGTTAAACATGGTCGATGAAATTTTAAAATTATATCCTTCAACCTACCAAGGATTGAGTGCCATGATATCCGATATACGCATAGTCTGCCCATTGCTAGCGGTATCTACGCAGATGCGTAACGTGCCGTTTTACGTAGTCACGCAAAATCGAGGCGAACTAAACGTTGCCGACGTCGATTCCGACGTCGACGCAATTTTGGGCCGCTACGAACCAAAAACGGCGGAGCAAAAGCGATACGTATCCGCAATGCAGCAATTGTTTTATTATTACGTTTGGCACGGCAAAATTCAGCCCGTCGAACACATCAATAACAAAATTCTTATTGTTGAGCAAGATGTTTTGTTGGCAGCTAACTACACTCATTGTGATTATTGGATTACTAAAGATATTGTTCCTCGATATGCACAATTAGATTAAAGATTCCATGATCTTTGACTGAAAAATATCAATGCTTGTCCATTTTTATTTTAATAATAATAACTTGGTAAATAGTTCTCGTGGTGCTGACGATTGATACAAAATTTATTAATTTGATAAATAACAGTGGCGCCAAATAAGATTATTGATTGAAATTTATAAATTCCAACTGATGAGGCTCGAGTATTGATTGAAAATTTGTAAATTCCAACGGATGGCTCTTTCATATGGTTTCCAAATCTGACCAATCTTCTGAGATTGTGTAGATGTCAATATTTCACGCAAATTCTCTGACATTAAATGGTTAATACATTTCCTATGTCGGTCGGTTAGACCTAGGCTAAGCTTTTTAAAGAACTATGAATGATAACACAAGCATTCCAGGCTATTTAATTTCCATATGCATGGTATGCGCGTACAGATTAGTGTCATCAAAATACAGTGATATTCATGTAGGGGTAGACATAGGAATTTCCTATAGGAATTTTTACTTTTACATTATAAAAAGTCTCCTGAAAGACGCCTAATTTTATGCAATCAAAATAACTTCTTGAAACAAATAAAGATCTCGCTGTTTTATTAATTTTAATCTTGTTGCTTTGGCTTCACAGAAAATAAATCTCTTAAGCTCCTTTAACTGTTATCGGCACTATACCAAAACGCCAACAGCCAATGTGCTGACCAGGATCATTTCCCAAATAAAATGTTTAATTATTATACGCCAACGTGACCAAAAGAGTTATGGCAAAAACTAGTGATGCGCGCATTCGAATGAAAACTATCGAACTATTCGATAGTCGCAAACCATTCGAATAATTCGATAGTGGACAAGTAATTCATTCGAATGAATTGTCTTCAATGAACGAATTATTTGCAATTGCACACACAGTTCATAAATACTAAATACCTTATGTTACGTTGAAAAATGTAAATATTATTTATTTCTTAATCCAGATGGTCACGGTTTGGGATTGGGAATTATAAATTTTATAATACCTACATAAAATATAAAGCGTCGTTTACTAATTACTTAGTAATTACTCATACCATACGCATTATAAATTTATAAGGCATAAGCAAAGTGAAAAAAGTCGATGATTTACATTTTTATTCGATAGTTGTTCACGAGGTTGTTCATTTATAATTTATATAAGATCCATGTATTTGTATAAGTAATACACATAAAGGAAAAAAATTATTCAAAAAATTCATTCGATAGTGAATTCATTCGATAGTACTTATTACTAAATAGTAATTTATTCGATGGTTTTTTTTTCTCGATAGTTCCCAACACTAGCAAAAACCGACATAACCCATGTCCAAGCATCGAAAACGGTTTTACTTAATCTCTAAATAACCCTTCTCATAAATGTGTTGCATTCATGGCGTTTTTCGCACCCCCACAAACAGTATTGATTCACTCTGCATTACCCTAACACTGGCAAAATAGTTCTAAAGGGATTTCTGCACAAGTGAATTTCCCATGTCAACATTTTGTCCGTCAGTATAATGGTCAAACATATTTGACAGTCCTGGTCAGTACAATATTCTTTGGAGTTTTGGACATTCTGCGAAATTCGTGTTGACGTCTATATTGCACCTTTCAGGTGTTCATTCTGAGAACAATTTTCGGCTTCTGTTCCGTCTAAAGATTTTGGAACAAAAAGAAGTTTCACGATACTAAAGCATTGCTATGGACACAGTAATTTGGTACACCCTGTAACGGTTGTTACATTCTAGGACTGAAATACCTAGTCGTGCAATAACAAAAATTTGACTAGATCCAAATTACCATATATTAATTAAAATTGATCATTCAAAAATCTGTCTTCCTCTGCAGCTCTCCACAATGTTAAATTTCAAAATCAGGATCTCTACTATTTCAAACTAATTTAGTGTTCTCATAATTAAATAATGAAAATTATTATTACTCTTTTTCACAAATAAATTATAATCTTAAAATCTAAATTTTGAACTCAATTGGAAAATTCTCATTATTTAATATTACATTCAAACGGAAAAACTTAACTTTCTTTTAGATGGGTCCATACAAGAAAAACCATATACCTACAGTCATTGTTTAAATACTTTAAACAATGCTACAGTATAGTTCCTCTGTTTAAAACAATGTCCCAATCTTTATTATTATTTGATTGGCAATAAAATGTTAAAATTCAAAAACTTAAGGACCAGGTCGAATTTGAATATAAAATCAAACGTTTAACTACACAATCGTAAAGATAACGATGTCCCTCCGATGTCGCTCAACTGGAAGCACAGAATCATCTCCTAAATAGACTGAAATAGGGGACATTCCGAAAAATTATTAAGCTTCATAAATGGATGGCTATCTTGAATGATCGTTGAAAACACGCTTCCTCGACGGTAGATGTTAGTGTTGTTAAAATATTTTTACGCAGGCAATTTCTACAGGTGAGCGGCTATTACTTTGTGCTTACTGTTTTTTAAATGGCCGGTACACTTCTGATTGACGATTTAGTGTTTCGAATTGAAAATTACTAAACTAAACACTAGCTCTCTCCACAAAACGTAATTCTTCGCGTCAAATTGCAGGTGCTCGATTTTGAAATTTTCTGAGGTACTCTTCACTCTTCACTTATGGATGTTCACTAAAAAAGTCCGCTAACGGTCCCAAGCGAAAATCCCCGCGACTTTCTTTTTACTGTTGCGCTTCCAAACGTGCTCATTCGTGGCTTGACGCGTAATGCCTGACGGCAATAAATGATTCCCTCACTTTAAATTTTGAGAACTTCTTCCCATTCGAATTTATTCTACTAATCGACTATAACTTCCTTCCAACCAATGAGACCCCTAGAAATCCAAACTGACAGATTCGTGTGCACTGGTTTCCGTAGAGTCGACAAAAACAAACGCTACGCGACATCCTGACAAAATCCGATCTGTCTCAGTAGGATACAGTGTAATGCTAGTTAATTTCGCTGCGCTTTGCGACTTTCTGGCGTCGTCTATTTTTGTACGCATTTACCTCGACAGGGCCGTACTCCAAATAAAAAATCGAAATAATATAGTTTTGTTCGCCATAAATTCATTCGCTTTATTGGTGAAACTGTTTCAAGCGCTCAATCGTGCTTCCACAAATTTCAGTATTAGTTGGTTTGGTCGTTTTTTCCATGTATGCAATAATAGCAAAATGCCTTCTCATTTCCAAGAAACGATAGGCAACTTCCAGAGAAAGATTGGGTTCTTGTGGTTCTTTGTCGATTGATTTCTGTTTGATGAGAGTCTTAGTGGAACAGTCTCTTTTGATAATTTGCCTTGGCTGAAACCCAGCCCACTCAAAAATAAAGGCAAAATAAAAAAATAAACGAAATAAAATAATTCATGAGAAATAAATGTTACATCGTACAAGTTTTTTTCCTCAGTCCGTTCTTTATCATTTCGAGTTTCACGCACGCAATCTCTACAGCTAAGTGACAATTACTTTGTGTATACTGTATTTTAAATGGCGGCTACAGTTTGATCGAGCGCTTTAAAACACTAATTCTGTCCACAAAACGTAATTCTTCGCGTCAGATAACGAGTGAGATTTTGACATTTGCTAACGTACTGGCAGAACTTCTCTTCACAAAAACGTAAAATCACCCGATCGCAAAAATTATCACCTTTTTACTGTTGTCAGTTCTTTCGTGGCTTGACGCGTAATGCCCCACGGGAATCCCTGGACCACGTAATTCCCACCACGTTACATTTTGAGAACTACGGCAGTCAGAGATTCAAATACCTAATCTATCAGTCCCCATACAGCTATCCCCCCATTTTGTCAAATTTGACGTTTTTTCTAGTGATCGATTGCGCTTGGTTTGCACCCCTCCGTTTTTCAGTTACTCCAGATACAAAATTCCATACTGTCGCCCCAGTGCGCACACGATTGCATTGCGCGCGGCCGGTTTCAAAATTACGATAGATTCAAATTGGGGGAGGGGGGGGGGCGAATCCATAACTTCCTCCAATTTTACAAATAATTATTCTTTCACAGAGCAACCGATTGCACTTGGATTGTACATCTTTGCGCCCAAACACAACACTCCATACTGTCCCACCAGTTTTTCAAATTTGATGTTTTTTCTAGTCATATGGTTTAGGCTTCTTGTGGCCCGAGTACTTTCGTTTGAGACCGCGGCGTTTCCCAGTTGTTCGAATTGCAAAACTCCATAATGTCGTCCCATTTTTCACATTTGACGTTTTTTTAAGTAATCGCTTGTGCTTGTTTTGCGCATGTTGGCGTCCAGAATACTTTCGTCTGCATTTTTAAATCATTCCAAATACAAAATTCCACCCCCCCCCCCCCCCCATGTGTGACATGTGACGCAGACGAAGGTATTCGCGGCATAAACCAACCGTAAGCAATGTCAAACAAAGATATTCGAGGCGCAAACCTGCGCAATCCGTTGCCCTGTAAAAAAATTATTATTTGTCAAAATTGGGTCACAGGTTAGTTTTCGGTGAAATAACAAACAAATGTGGGGTTCACGGTTCACTTTACGATCATTATTATCACTCCTCACTCTTTCCTTCTCTAAGAACCAGACCCACGTCCACGCGCCCGCCGCTGTGTGTATCATATACATAACCTCATTTACATCAGAGTGGGATGGAAAGAGAGAGAACTATGGCAACCTTGCAAGAGAAAACACTATCGAAAATATTAACACTGCTCGTCGGCCATTTTGGAGCCCACTGACAATCCACATGTGCATAAAAAAGTGTTTAAGGTTACACAATACATGCAGTTAGGGCATAGAATGTTTTGCAAACATCAATTGTTATTGGGCTATGTATAATACCTATGTCCTATAGTTGTTTGAATGACGGCATTTCCATGGTGGGATAAGGATAACGTAGATATCGAAGTCCCCTCCACTTTGGTAAAGAACTAATGGAAAAAGTCCTGGTTAATTATGCCTTGGGAGCTCACATTCCAATCAGCGTATTGTCTGAATACACATAACATAACGCTCGGAATTTATCAATTTAATGCACGTACCAATTGTCAGCACCTTTTGCTTTATAAAACCTACCTATAGCTCTTTCATTAAAATTACTTCAATAATGCAATGTAGGAAATACAAAATTAAGTATTTCTTACATCTATAAGTCCTTTGGTTTGTTAAAGATGAAGTGTAATCAAAATATTAAGTTTAGCAGTATTGTGAACGTGTACTTCTACTGTAACCGAACGGGCGGTTCTAATTTTTGTATAAACAATGATCTCCGTTTGATGTACTTGGTAATATTGATAAGGCCTAATTTATTTAGATATGTAGTAACTTATTTTATACTTTTTAATGCTTGTACAGTAAGACTAAGCTGCGGTGTATTTAAGAATTATTAGCTCAAAAGATGCCAATGTGATCTTCGGCAATCAAGTTGAAATTGTTTTAAGCTAAGTTCATATCCAATGTGTGAAGGTGAGTGAAAACCAATTACAGAGATTTTGTTGACCAAATCTGTAATATTTCGTTGTGATTAATTTGTAGCTGTCAAGTTTGAGATGAAATTAGGCAACCCAACTTTTGATACAAACTTTTATAAGCAATAGTCTTTAAATTAAACAAGTGTACTTGATGTACAGAATAAAACGCTGGGCACAAACTGTAGCAATTTTCAATTGTTAAGAAACATGTATAGTTCTAATGTCAACATTCACATTCATCAGTCAGCCTGCTTCCAACGGAAAAAAAGATTGATTCTGTACGAAAACTGTAGTTAAGATATCGAAATCAACTGTGTGATGAGATTGTTTTAGGGTAAGTGAGAAAGAAACATACGAACATTGTAATAGAACACATTTATTCGTGCCAAAAAATTTGTAACATTACATCTTTGGACGCTATATTTTTGGTAAAAAAACATTAATCAAGTAACTTGGTAGACTGGTTTGTATTTTTTATATCGGCAGTATTATAAACACTCACAATGTATTTTATACTTGTATTTAATATTTGTAAGCTTTTTGTAAATTTTACTATACTAAGATTCTGTGAATCATTTTATTTGTAATGTATATTCCTCGTCCACCAAATTTTGTGTATCATAATAACTATCAATAAATAAAAGTAATATAAAAGTAGCTTAGTTTTATTCAAGATCAGCCTTATTCATTTGGCAAAAATTACCGTTTGTACAGATATGGGCAAACATTAACTGATTTCCTACATCCTAGTGAATGTTGCAATAATTAAACAAAGAAATAAAAACAAAATCGAGTCACAGTTTGCAAATTTAAAATTTGGTTTCATCCACATAACAGATTTGGTTCAGTTGCGATCTCTCAATGGACCTGGACTCTCAATACGACCGCTTGAATGATCCAAGTTTTCCTTGTCTTTCTTCGACGATTTCTTTGGCGTTGATACCTGTGATTTCAAGTTTTCAATGGTGCGAGCTTGATTTCGTAATTTAACTTCAAGTTTTTGTTTCTCCTGAAAAATAAATAACTATTTCAAACAATATTTTGACATTGATGGCGGTACAGTTTATTCAAAGTACCTAGGTATAACAAGTAAGGTAAGGGTCAAATTTGTTTCAAACAAACCGAAGATGGGCGTCCCCAAACGTCTGAAAATGTGTGCTTTTTATCAAAGCATCCGTAACACAGCTTAGCCCTTCTTGATTTAAAAAAAATGTTCCTAATCCTACCAGAAAGTGGAGCACGCCAAAAAGGGGTCATGCATTTAAATTTTTGAAAATTTGCAGGTTATTTCCTATGACTGTGATTGTTACCATTAAACTTGTGGAACTTTTTTGAACTAGTAAGAAAACTTTTTTTTGAAAATGTTCCATAACATTCTCACTTTGCGTCTAAACAAAACATAACTGGTCTGAAAATTATGTGTGTACAAATTATGTTCTAATTCTAAGATAAGAATAAGAAACGTCCTGTGTATATGGAGATAATCTAGTCATCAGAAAAAGGTAGGTAGTTGCACTTAATACAAAAAGGGACATTTACAGAATTTTTACTAAATTTATTAATAATCAAAATTCTCTAACTTAGTAAAAGTAAAAAAAATCCGTATTGAACAATCTTTACATGAATGTAGAGGTTTGTGTGTAAGCCACATAGGAATTATACAAGTGAACATCATTCAAAAAATAAGAAAAAACAAACAAAATGACTAAAGGTTTTGCTAAGGCGCATTTTCCATGAACTGATCACTACTTCCCAAAGTATTCTTATTAATAAGCAACTTAGCATTGTGTAGTCTGCGGATACGCACATCTTTTTTTTACAATATGCGATATGCTTGTCTTTACTAAAAGAATCTTTGGTTAACATTTTAAAAAATGTGGCCATAAATAGGACACATTGCGCAGTCTGCGCATGCGCAATTAATCGTCAAGATTTTTCTTGGTTGAGGTGCCAAAGCTATAAGCTATCGAATGCAAAAAGAAAGACCTACAAAGTCAAACGGGTTGACGTCTCGGTTACTGAACCGCTACAACACTGTAGGCAAAAAATTAATTACAGTAGATGAAATGTGGGTTCACCATTACGAACCTGAGTCCAAACCCGAAAGATCCGAAATCGCCAGTGAAAAAAAAATTTCAAGACAACCTTCTGCTGAAAAAGTGATGCTAACAGTATTTTTGGGACTCAAAAGGGCCTATAATAATAATAATTATTATTTATTTCCAACAGCAAAGCCTATTACAGGAAATTTCAAAGAATAAACAAAATGAAAATACAAACTTGTAATGTTTCAACAAAAAAAATTAAACTCATTCAATAAGGCATTGTAGCTATAGCCAACTTTAGGGTAAAACCCGTGTTTTCCGAAAAAATAGAAACCTCAAAAAACGCTTCTGAATTCTTTCTAGAGAATTTGTTTGAGTAACGCTACCGGATGACCAAATCAAAGATACATAGCTAAGCTTACTTATAATAAAGGATTCATACAACATAATAATTGGAGCCATTTGTGAAAATAATTTGCTATTCCTAATAATAAAACCTAAAATTATGTTACATTCAGAAGTTAATGCCTTGATATGCGTATTGAAGACTTGTCGATTGTCTAGTAAGATTCCAAGATCTTTAAATTCATTGGTCCTTAACAAAACGTTACCTTGTATATTATAGTTAAAACTGGTATAGCATTTTTAGCGCATTTTTGAAAAAAATACGCTATTATATTCGTCATTGCTGGCAAGCCGGCTGTCCGCGTGAGATCTCCACAACTACAATAGCTAGAGAATTCAAATTTCCACTATAAGCTTTCTGCTATAGTGTAGATGTGCAGGCACTAGTCTATTTTGAGTTAGATTACTTGTGAGATCGATAATTGAAGAAAATAATTTCGATATGGGTTTCGGAGGTGCTATAATTTTACCGTTAGATAGCGCTACCAGTATAAAAACTTATTATTTACTTTGTGATTTGTTTTACAAAATGAAGACGTACCGTCAATTGAAATTAAATAAAATTAATTATTTAACGCAGCCAAAATTACTCGTGAGATTGATAATTTTAAACTTCGCTAATAAAATACTGACTTGCATTACCAAAAATGCGTTTTAATCATGCATATATGCTGATTTACAACTTGTTTAATATTTAAATGTAGACCATCCACAATCTTAAATATTTTTAAATCGTCCGCATACAAAAGAAAACTGTTAGATAGCCCCTTACACACCGAGTTAAAATAGATCAAAAACAGCAACGGCTGAAACATTATCTGGCAAAGATTGCCAGTGTGGGGTAGGTACAGCGATATGCTAGCTAACAATCTGAAGCCAGCGATTCGCAACAAATCCGGATCTCGCCCCATCAGATTTTCATCTCTTTGGGCCACTCAAAGATGCTCTATGACGTCGTCCATTTGCTACAGACAATGAAGTACAGGTAGCGATGCATCAATGCTCAAACACAAACATTTTTTGGCGGGAATACGCAAACTTGGCCCGCTGCACAAAATGCATTGAAAAGCGAAGGGATTATGTAGAAAACTGATGTGTATTTGGTTAACCTCTACATTGTGTAAATAAAATTATAAAAACAATTTTTGACTCTCCCTCATTCATATCTGCAAAACAACATTTTTTTAAAGAAGCTTTTTATGATATCCAAAATTATAAAAACTTTGTTACCAATCTACGAACTTGAAATTTATGATCAGTGACATGGTGAAGGGGGACATATTTTTTTAAATAACAAATACTATTTTTTATTAGGTACATATTCTTAAAGTGCACACCTTTTATGGTGCTATATCCAGAAAAGAGTACCCAGTCTCTAATTATACGTAATGGAAACTAGTAGTTGCCACTTTAAAAAAAATGTGCCTCCCTTGAGCAAGATAAGGATGTCTATCATGGAGATCTCGGAAATCATAGAAAGCATGACGATAATTAAATTAGGAAAAAGTATCGCAATTAAATAATTATTACTATCATACTGTAAAGAAAACCAGAAAATTCCGGTTGCTTCCGAAGATATGCCAGAAAATCTGAAATTTGCCGATTTTGTTTTTATTTTTTTCGGGTGTTATTTGAACAGGTAAAAAATAAAAAACACTCTCATTGTCAAGTTTAGGTGTAGTACATAGGACGTGATATGTCTCCGTAGAATTTGAATATACAAAATCTTAGAGTTGCCATGCTAGATTACGAATTCTGATATTTTCTGGTGTAACCAAAAGGGACTGTCTACGGTTTTTTTTTTGCTCAAAATATACACAATTTTCAATCCCATGACAAAAGTTTCATTTTTAGCGCCTTTATTTAAGAATTTAAAAAAATGTGCTATTGTTTGCGTTTTGTCCTCGGCCCAATTCTGCCATGTTGAACTATTGGAGAATGGTTGTGTCTTACTTCGTGAGAACTTTGATATGTGACAACCAATTGGTCTCAGATTTTGCATGCGCATAGTAGTGCCAAATTTTATTTTATTTTATTTTTTTTTTATTTTAAATTTTATCTGTGTGTACTTTTTGAAATTTTAGCTATCTACATTATGGTTCTATATTGTTTATTACCCCATTAAAGACTCGCACACATGTACTGCAAATGTAATATATGTTTGACGTTGCTAAGTTTACTTTATGTATTTAAACCTAGAGGTTAAGTGGAAGAGCAGCATTCGCTGAACTTCGCCTCTACATATTTATGTACTACAAAGAACTCTTTTCACTGCAATAAAGGCACTATTATTATTATTATTAAGTAAAACTTTTGAAAATGGGGGGTGGTAGAATGCATGGTACTCTAATGAATGAAAGGACTCATCGAAAGGAAATGGTTTGTATAAACTATAATTTTCCCGCGCGACTCCCTTTCGAGATGAGGGAGGGGGGGGGTGGTTTAAAATGAATTTTGTTTCATGGAAGAAACTGTTTTCTACTATCTACTGCCCTTCTTTCTGGCTCCTTATCAAAAGAAGGGGTTTGGGGGTTGGTATTGGTTTTATGCTTCATGGTACTTTAATGATGAGTCTCAACGAAAAGTGTACGTTTGCGACACGAGCGAGCAAGTGATCCCGGGCGAATAAGACTTATTTGTGTTTTGCATATGGCGTTATACGGTTATCATTTCTGATGGTTGAATGGATTGCGAAATCTGTAAATTTTTAATTGTAAAATAGTGGTCGGTTATTTTTAGGAATTTGTGTATTGATTTGGTTTTTAAAGTAATTTTAATTTTTCCTGAAGGAATCGACCCATGAGAATTATTTGCATGAACAGTTTTGTATTTCATTTATTAATAAAACTGAGATCCAAGCAAAGGGTTTAGATTCTTTTGTTTCAATAATTGATTTTTGCATTTAATTTCAGTAATATCATACATTCGGTTGGATTAACATTTTGTTTCGTATTCAAGGTGTGTGTGCATTTTGAACTGGAGGATGTACAACAAATTTGTCATGTGGTCAAGATAAAATATTTAGATAAGGATCAAATTTAGCAGTATTTGTGTTAATATATCGTGATTCGTAAATTTGTCTATCTCATTCTTATTTTTTTATATACAGGGTATCTCAAATCGTACGATTGCATGGGTAACTTTGTTATTATTGAAGATAAAGTTAGTGGGTTTTGTGTAGTTGAAAATTCTGTTTACAAAATTTGCAAACTCTCGCCCAAAAATACTGAAAGCGCCGATTTCGAAAAAAAGAAATTTTCAGAAGAAAATAAAAGGGGATAGGTAAAATATTACGAAAAATTGTATTACTTGACATTTTGGGGGGGGGGGGGGGCAGGCTAGTTCCATTTCTTTCATTTCCATACTGAATCTTACTCACCTTTACATTTTCGTTGTCAGCTTAAGGAGGCCCTGGGGGGCCAAGACTTCTCACTGACATATTATGAATAAATGGTGATTCAGATTATATGATAACGTTTTATTCTTTTAGTAAGTAAGAGAAATTCACTAAATGAAAGATTTTAATAATACATTAAAGTTTTGGAGTAAAATAAGTTTTTGTATCGAACTTTTCAAGTTATCAACAAGAAATCCCAAAAAATGAAATTTTTTCAGAATGTTGGATCCTAAAAAACACATAAAATAGAAGAAATCAAAACAATCCCACCGCTTTTCTGGTAGAAAAAAAATGATTCGATAATCATACGTTTTCTTAAATTTATACAGTATTTACAACTTGCAAGTGCTTCAGACGAAAACATTTCATAATTTTGGAAAATATCTACCTACCTCAGTTAAAATAGCATTTTTCTTCTTAAGGTCTACCAGGTGTTTTATTTTTTGTTTCAGATTTTGATGTCCCAGAATTTCGACGTATTTCAAGCCCATCTCGTGCGCCTCCTTCTCTGCGTGCTCTTTTTCGTTCATCAAGATGTTGTACTCCATTTCGTACGATTTCAAATTGTCGCGGAACGGACCGATTAATGCGTTTTGCTCGGCGACCTGCACAAGGATCAGTTACTTAACTGCAAAGTTAATGGCACAAAATACAGACCTGCATGCGCAGTTGAGCGTTGTCCTTTTCCACAGACTCTAACTGCTCCAGGAGTTTCCCGTATTTCTCCTTCAAGTCATCATCAGTTCCAGGCAGAGGCACAGGTTCGGGTTCGCAATTTTTAAGATCACTTATTTGTTTTAACAAATCGTTTTCACTAGCCTGCATGAGTTCAATTACAGTTTTGAGCTTCGAATTTTCCTTAAGTAAATTATGTCGACTATCCTCGCTCGCGAGTAACTTCTTCTCCAGTACTTCACATTGCTTGATTTCATCTTGCGAAAGGGAAATCCACTCTTGAGCCTTGCAGTTTAAAATATTCTGATCATGAAGTAACTCCCTCGCTTCACTTAAATCTTTCTTTACTTTATTTAGCTCGTCTTCCTTAAGCTTAATTTCTGCTTTCGATTTAGATTTAAAATCATCAATTTTGTTACATAGTTCCTCCTTCAACTGAAGCACTTTTTGTTCGGCTAAATCGACCGTCATTTTATTTTGTTCTTCGATAATATCGCACAAGTCTGTGACAATTTCCAATTCGTGCATTAGCTGGTTGCATTTGCCCTCAACCTCAAGTTTCGACTCTTCGGTAGCCTCAAGTTCAGCTTTTAGCTGCTCTACATCCTGGTCAGACTTCATAAGCCGCCTTTTTAAAGCTTCGACAGTCTTGTGTGTTTTCTGTACTGTTAACTCGTATAAATTCTTATCCTTAGTTGCTGCCCTAACATTCTCCTTGCATTCTGTAATTTCTTTACCTAATTCTTCTCTTATAGTATTTAATTCGATGATAACATTGCTAAGCTGCGTTTCGATTTCTTTTCTTTTCGTCTCCGCCACGGCGCAACTACTCTTCATTTCCAAATTTTCAGCTCGTAATTCCTCAACTTTCTTCTTCTCTTCGGTTAGTTCGTACGATACTTTGTTTTTTTCTATTTCACTTTGGATGATATTATATTCGGCAATTGCCTGGCACTCTTTCAAAATGGCATCTGCTTCAAGCTGCACCTCCTCAACTTTGGCTTTCCAACTTGATTCGATGGTTTCGCATTTCTCTCTTGTCTGGATTTCTGTCAAAATTGTCGCTTCTTTAAAATTCTCTTTCATTTGCTGAATCTTCATTTCGTAATCTTCAATTAACTTCAACCGTTCTTTGTCAAACTTCTCTTTCAAAGTACCAATTTCTTGTTCTTTCGCATTTGTTACTTCATTTACCCGTTTCTCTCCATTTTCTTTTTCATTGTCGATTATATTATGCATATTACTTACAGTCTTCAGCATATCACTTTCCAGAGTTTGAATTTCCTGAAGATGTAATGCTTTGAGCTGGCTTATACTCTTTTCAAATTCGTATATTTGTTTATTTTTCAGAATCAATTCCTCAGTTTGTTCCGCAATTATCATTTGAGTGTTTTTTCTTAACAAATCTAACAAATTCTGAAGAACACCGATACATTTTAACAAATTACTCAATTCTTCTACACTCTCCTCCTTTAACGCAACAAATTTATTCTTTACCTCGTCCACCTTGCCACTTACCTCTAGCGCTTTCTTTTTGACCAAAACCACCTCAAGTTCGCGCTTTTTCGTAAGCTCGGTTAAGGTCTTTGAATGATCATCGCTTAACTTTTCCACGTTCAACTCGAGGGAACTGTTACGTTTCGTCAGTTTCGAGATGACACTTTGAAGATCATTCAGGTCTTGCTTTAGCTCTTCAACATGTTCAGTCAATTCTTGAATGAACAGATCTTTGTTATTGCATTCTACAATCTTTTCTTTTAGTGCTTCCGCATCGTCGGTAATTGCGAAAAGATCGACCGGTTTCGTTTTACGATTGGAATTTGGTGCTCCTACCTTTTGTTTTCTTGGTGGATTGGGCTAGAAATTAAGCATACATTAAACCGAGCATTAAACCCACAAAAAATGCACGCCACCATGAAAGATAAATGGGGAAGAAAGACATGCCCAAAAAACGTAAATTAATGCTTCTTGCAAATTTGTTCTTACAGTTTAGTCAATATAAATCCAGGAGAATGAACCTTTCGCATCCGGTGCTAATTTACAGGGTGTTAACATACCCTGACTCATTTCAAAGCGCGAATTGTCTTTTCACAAAATAATACACAGGTGGTTCGCTTCGCTTACTGCAAACGCAAATCCCCTATTCTGCGAATCCCATCTGACGCACCAATCCCAATCATGACTACTGCAATATAAACAAATAATTGTTTTGTGACCTAAGACAATCACGCCGTATTCCACGACTCACAGGCGCCTTAAGTTTTCAAGCGCATTTAAAAAATCAAGACCGTATTTTAGGGCCAAACGCTCTCGTAACACAACCAAGAAAATTAAAAAATCCTACCGAATAATGAGACCACTCTTTATATTTTTCATGGCCAAATTTTAAAAAACCGTGCAACCACAAAGCATCAACACGTGGGATACAAGATCAAAGGTCAAAAGATGAATTTTTGGAGACAACGTTATTCAAATGACGTGAAAACCGTTGTTTGTACACTAAGATCCATTTTTGGTAACCACATGTATTTGGATCAAGAAACGAAATACTATAAATAGCTCGAAATAGAAAATAATAATAAATTGTCTTTTATTGGACAGTGCAGAAAAATATACTGATACAAAAAATTAATGTTTCACGTCACCATCCAATGGGGTCCCATACCGGGTGACCCAATAAGACTGTTCCTCGGCCATATGTCGGGAACCATTCGTTGTATGACTTAGTGGTAAAAAAAATTATTGAGTAAATCGGTTATGAAGAATTGCTGGAAAATATTTTCAAGTTCTAAAAAGACCACCAGAGGGCGTAACTGCACTTTCTGAATGCGCAAACACAATAGAATAACTTACAAATTACGGCTGTTATTATTTTATAATGCATCGTGTTTCATTTGTTTAATTTTCCAAGGCCTACCTAATATTTTAGGGTGCTTTTCCAAACAAACTTTCGCGCCATCGACAAATACCGGAAATACGTCAAAAGTAAATTTAAGATACAATTTAAGCATTTTTATTAATTAATTAATTAATCTCATTTTCCCAATATTTGAGGTTAGATTTTGAAAAACGGTTTTCACTGACCTCTTTGGATATTATTTGGCTACTTTTTCATAAAGAAAAAGTCATATCATTCTATTTGATTTTTTTAGGATTTTGGGTCATAGTTTCAAAACTAGGCGGAGAAGAATTCAACTAAACTAACTATATTGATTCTTGTTGCCCAAGGAATACTCTGTTCAACTATACCAAATTTGTTACAATCGGTCAAACGGTTAAGAAGTTAAAGCAGGTTATTGCAAAAACCATTGAACGCCCCGCACCATCTTTGTTTTTGAAATAACTGAGTTTTGTTTTTACGAAACTGATAGATAAACTGGTTCTCTTTAAAAATGTGACAAAATTTTGTTTAGTTTATTATGCGAAATTGAAAGAAAATGCAATTTTAAAATTTAAGATGGCAGTTACGCCCTCTGTTGGTCATATTTAGAACTTGAAAATATTTTTCAGCGATTCTTCATTACCGATTTTTTTACCCCTAAGTCATATCAAAGAGTAAACTCTTTGGTCATATGACGAACGGTTCTCGAGATATGGTCGAGGAACAGTCTTTATTGGGTCACCTGGTACCAGACGATTGGAACAATAATCAAAAACGAAAAAAATATTAAAAACAATTTTAAAAATCCCCAGGAAGATATGTAAGTACTGATAATACTTCCTTCGATATTCCGTTGTATCAATCAATCAATGAAGAAACAGAACAAAAATTTTTATCAGTCCAAGAAATAAAAGGTTTGAGAAGAATCCAAAAATGTAACGAATTCAATGGAGACAATCTGAAAACTGCCAAGAAGCTGACAAAAAGCCAGATTTTTGTGACTTCATTTCCATCATCTAAATCTAAAAGAACAGAAAGAGTTACGTAAAGAAAGTGGTTGAAAGTTTCTGAGTTAATAAATCACTTTCCGAAATTCCCACGGGAACGAGAACAGGAAAAAATAGAATTTTATGTTTTACAGTCGAAAATAGACTTGACATTTAGAACATAAGTGTCTTTGAAATCAGTAAATTTCAGGAGGATTAGTCACAAATTAGAAATGTAAATCTGCGTCCTTTAGTTTGCGGCACAGTTATGTGTGTTATGTGCGTGTAATTTCTTAACCGTCCCTTAACATTTCCGAAAAATCTGTCCATACATAGAAAGTGGATCTGGGCATGTGCAATCCATTTTTTTCACACCTGTACATAATAAACAATGGCCCAAAGTGCACCCTGAATGCAAACGGAATCAATTTCTTTTTTTTTCTATCATAGCATATATCGTTTCCTCAATAAAATTGGGGTTGGGATTTTGGGTCTTTCTCGCCACAAATGATAAGTAAAACTAACAAGCAAGTTTTAGTTTTGACTTTCGGGTAATCAAGGATCAAAATCCAAAAAGCGTATAAGATTTATTTATCAGTACAATAAATGGCAATGTTTTAAAATTGTGAAAAGTGACAAAAACAGATTTTTATTATTACTTTTGTTTTCGTATGTGGCACAGAAGGAATTCCTTCCTTGGTGCAAGCCTAGACGTCACAACGAACCAAGTATCAAAAAAAAAGCTCTTAAGATAAAGATCTGATAATGCACAGCCACAGCCATACGGCCATAATTCTGGAAATGCGTTAAAAATATGTGCAGGGTGATCCAAATTGGACATTTTCTTATGGAAACACCCTTTATTTTAACAGATAGAAAAAATGGAACCTCGGCGCAAACAGAATTCAGCTTTCTGATCGTTTGGCCGCTAGGAGGCGTTTTGCCAATTTAGTAGACTTCTCTAATGCTCCATAACTTTCTTATTAGTAAAGATAATTGATTTTGGCAAAATCTTTCTTATATCACTTTTTTATGTTTATGTTTTTATACAAGGTGTTTGGCTTTCTTGATACGACCCTACACTACATTTTTGTATACGGACCACCATCATAGACCTTTTTTTAAAAAAGCGTAAAATGTTCTAAATTTTCATGTATTACTTGTCACATTTATAGCAAATATTATTAGCAATATTGCATTTTATAATTAAAATGTGTTTATTGAAGACATCTAGGTTTCCATGGCTAACAAAGTGAAACTTGGGAATAAAACAAATAAGTATTTACTCGAGTATTTATAAATTGCATAATACATAATTACTCAGATAAATAGCAATAATAAAAGGAAAGTAAAAAAAATAATTTACATATGTATGTTAGTAAATGTTCAAATTGTCCCCCATTCTATATGAAACAGATTCTACACCTTTTTTTTACCCATTTGCAGCATTCATTAATTCTAAGAACTAATAAATTGTGGTTTTAGGCAAAGAGTATTATATTCGTTATATACTCTTTGTTTTAGGTAAACAATGTTGACATCTTTTGTTGGTCATGGAAACCTAGATGTCTGCAATAAAAATATTGACCTGTGCTTTATTGCTAATATTTCCTATAAAAAGTACAAGTGATACATACAAATTTAGGAAATTTTACGCTCTTTTTAAAAACTCCAAAAGATATATAGAATGGGCTGTATGAAAAACCGTAAAAAAACCAAACACTCTGTATAAAAACTTTTCATCGCAATGGATTTTACATAAAAAAGCACTCCAAGTAAGATTTTGCCAAAATCAATTATCTTTAATAATAAAACAGTTTGGGGCATTAAGAAATAGACTAAATTCAAGAACCGCCACCAAACGATAAGAGATATCTTAAACTAAAGGACATTGCCATAAGAAAGGTCCAATTTGGACCACCCTGTACATTCGACTCAAGCGAACTAAGGACATAGTGTTCACATTCTCCGATCTGACAATGGCCACCCAATTATTTAACGCTGGTGAAGTATTTTAGGAACGTCAGCGAACGACGCATTTACGGCGGAATATAATGGGCGTGCAGCAAGCGAAACGAGAACAATTATCGATTCAGCCAGCACCGTGTTTCAAGCAAAACAAATAGAAAAGAAATTTTGGGCTACATTGACCTGGAGCATGATCACAAATAAGTCACAGATACATGCTGTGTTCAACAAGGAACCAAAGTTGGGACTATTTAAGAAGCTTTGGTACATACATATTCTGAAAAAGGGCCGCCAGAAGCTTGATCCAAAAGCAAACCATTGCAAGGGATATCAGGCCTGAAATCTTAAAATAGGTAGGTAACATGAAAGTCGCAAGAGATGTAATAGATACTTTTGTTCTCACTTTTGTTGAAAGAATCGACAGCAACAATTGATATCGACTTTGAAAAAAAAATTTATTATTCATTCCACATCAAAGCAGCATTCCAACGAAAATGTGTGCATGAGCAGGAGGGAGATGACAAGAGATAGAAGGGGAGGGCTGGAGGACTATGGTTGGTTGAAACTAAATCCTTTCATTAAAGTACCACAAAGGATAAAACCAGTCCCCCCCCCAAAAGAAGGACGGTAGTTGGTAGAAAACATTTCCTTTGTAGAGACCTTTAGGTTTAGACGAGGGTTTAGAGTACCATCAAAAATCCATTTCTCCCTCTGTCACCTATTGATCTCGAAAAGGAGAATCTCGAGAGGAAGAGGAAATCAAGTTATAGTTTGTATAAACCAATTCATTTCGATGAGACCTTTTCGTTGCAGAATACCATTAAGGGTAGAACGTGTTTTAACCAGAGTAGTATAGAACAACTTAAGACCTTCTCCACGGGCACCTCTAAAAAGCATTATACGGGTCACTTTGTAATTGGGCACAAGTCTGTTGAGGGCCCAGAACAAGAGAAGGACAATAAATAAATAAATAAAGTGTACATATGTAGCCTCTGATGAAAAAGCAGGAAGAGTCAACAAATACCTCCCAATAAATGTAGTACAGTATTTTGTTATTAAATACTTATCACTGCCTTTTAATCTCATCATAAATTATGAAAGCCCCAAATTTATTTCTTAAAACTGTCATTGCCATATCTTTAAGTACTTACACATAGGTACATAGATAAGAATTTATTATTGTACCTACTCTACTTACATCAAAGTAAATATTCAAATTAGAATGTTTTATTTCTGGTAAGATAAGTACGTAAATCTCATTTATAAAGAATGGTATAATCACAACACATATTGTATTTACAACTCACTATACAATGCATTTATAAGTAACGGGCGATCAAAAATGAGTGGCCGGCCTTTGGAAGTCCCATGTAAACAAAAATTCCAAAGGTGACTTGACGGCAACTCATTTTTGATCGCATAGTACCGAGTCTTAAGCGCGGTTTAGACGCTACGATCTTGGCTTCGATAAATCGTAACGATCTGATTGTCCAATTTATCATTCAATAAATCGAAAGAGTGCGTACTGTTCACATGTAACAATTTCTTGTTCCAATCTCATTGTCGATCACGGTTTAATACAGTTTTTATTTTTTTACTTTTCAACTTGTCTTTTGGTTCTGTCCACTAATATACATTATACTCGCATTTTATTGCTTACATTGCTTGCTTACAATAGAATCTTAATCTCGATTATGATTTATGAGTAGTCATGTGTCGCTAAATATTTTTTTTGGGTGGCCAAACTTGATCGCCACTCGCCAAATGGAAAACGTGTGCACTAGAGACAGTCCAAGTAGCCCAAATGGATACAAAAATGGTTCACGTCGGCAAAATTTGTCACAAATTGTAGCGATAAATCGCTGTTATTGTTTACACGTTCCAATTTATCGCTACGATTCGCAGAGATTGAAGCCGGCCGCCATCAACCATCCAATCCAATTCCAATGAATCGCTACAATCCTCTGTTCACACGCAACGATAAATCGTAACGATTCGATCGTTACGATAAATTGTACAATTTATCGTAGCGTCTAAACCACGCTTTAGCAAAGGAGTACCTACTTACTGCAGGGATCATTTGTTGACACCAGCACCATTGTCTATAAGGAAAAACTACATGTATCTATACAGTATATTTACCGTTTTAAAACTAGGTGCATGGCCATTGGAGACAAAACTGTGGTCAGACGAAGCCGGGCTACGAAGATCTGTGAATCGTTCACTTTTAGGGATGGTTGCAAGGCCGGCATGATTCTTTAAAGACACATTGTAATCCGCAGGAGATGGTGTACAACCTGTTAAGTGTATCTAGCATGAATAAAAATCAAATAAAATAAAGTAAAAAAAAAAAATGTGTTCATTTGATATTGGCGGGTAATTCCACATTTACAATAAAAGGTTATCATTTAAAAAAATGGGATAACAATTGTTGTAATCTTAGAAGTTACCTTGTACTTCATTAAAACGTTGCAATTTTGCTTTGGGAAACGACATTATGTAATTGACTGTAATATATTAAATGATTTGAGTTTTTACACTTAACGAACAAAACTAAAACTAAACTAAAATACGTTACAACAGCTGGATAATTTTAAATTCTTTTCAAAAGTGTCCCCACTACTCGATCTCCCTTTCACTTGAGCGAATACCATAGAACAAAGTTACTAGATCTAGTAACTTTACGACTCAACTTAAATTATTATTGCGACATCTATTGGACGGTTTAAACAACGTGGCAGTTTTAACCGATTGAAAATTTCTGGATTCTGAAGTCACAGTCTTGTAAATTTCTGAGAATTATCTTCTATTCGTTTTATCATATAGCATTGGAGAATACAATATTCGATTTTGACTTAAAGAAAAAAGACATATCGACAATACGTTTACGCCGTACCTTTCGATCGGGTGTGTAGGGGAATCCGCTACGTTAAAACCCACTTTTGAGTTTCGCGGGTATATATGCCATCATAAGCTGAAGTAGGATTTTCTTTATCTGAACTTTTCTCGACAGAGACTGAACGCCCCGCAAATGGAGGGGATACACTTATTACTTTTGCTTTATACAATTGCCAGAAGAGGCGCGCAATGGCATATTACATTACAGTGACTGTATTAGGATAGTGGCGACAACTTTGCATTATCTACCATATTGGGGCAAAAAATTGTTTCATTATAGGATCAATATACCTTATTGTCATTTGTCATGTCAAATTGTGACCGTATAATAAGAAAATGTTTGCCAAAGCGCACACGGAGCGACTGTTCTGCAACTACAGTTGCAAACCGATTGCGCGGGCAACTGTTTTGTGACCTCGAAAATGTATTGGAGTGGGAAAGCGCGTCGTGTGCTCTTTCCCACTCCAATACACTGTCGAGGTTACAAAACAGTTGCACGCGCAACTGGTTTGCAACTGTAGCTGCAGAACAGTCGCTCCGTTTGCGTTAAAAACAAATTTTGGGAAAAATGGCTCAACTAAGCAGGTACCAAGATTCTAAGAAAGGGTGAAATACGCAGGATGTGATTCATCTTTGGTGCAATAAAATCCTTTTGTTAAGAGCAAGACGGATAATTACATACCCAAAGTTAATGTTACGACAAATATGTGGAAAGCAGTGAATCGCTAACTCATATATCTCACGTACATTCTAAATCGCAGAGTTTTTATTAGCAGAATCTTGTTCGAAAGATCTGTAACTCGCCCTTCGTTCGAGGTTTAAGCCTACAATTGAATGTTGAACACAATCACGGAATTAGGTGTAACGCATTTGATTACAGTTTTTGCCACCCCTGTGACTGCTTCATTCACGGAGAACACAAGACAGTATATACATCAAACGAATCAGTAATTTCCACATATTAAAAGAATGATCAACATTCATACAAATATTACTTCTTGTCGAAGATCATGAAATAAAAACAAAAAAATAAATTAAGAAAACATTATATCAACGGGGGAACACATACAGAGAATGACGCACAATCGAGCAGTGAAGAAAAATGGTACCACAATATGTGTATCAAGAAAAAGGTGAAGGCCCATGAAACGGCGATGTATTGAAGCGGTGAAGGAAGATCTAAAGCTTTAATTATTATATTCAAAAATCTAAAGGAAAAAAGGCATAACAGACTGGAGAAACTAGTTGTCAGGTAAACTTCTGACTTGACTTTCCGACTACTTTTAATAGTCATTGCAATTATCTTTCGTCATAGTATAACATTTAATAATAATGGTAATAATAATAATATCTATTCATTTCATTTAGAAAATGGCATCTAGCGCCTTTATTTTGAACCAGGCGCTAAAAGTGTGAGCCTTTTTTGTAGATCTCATCAAGACACATCTTTCTTATAATTAACATTTTTCACTCTGATGCTTATACTTTTAGAGAAAAATGCAAATTAACAAAAATAAAATAAATAGTTTAAATTTTCAATTCAAAACTTCTCAAAAACAAAGGAACTCACAAAAAAATTGCAATGAACTTTTTTGTACAGTTTTTTAAGCCATTTTTTTCAAGCTGTTATAGCTCTTTTAAACTTTTGACATTCTCAACAACCATGGTCCATGAAGATGGTTACGGATTAAAACCAAAATAGGACGTTTTCGATTCCCCATACCACCCTATATGCACCCCAAATTTCGTCCAAATCTGTTGAGGGACTTTTTAGTTATCGTGGTCACAAAAAACGAACCACACACACACACGCACGCACGCACCCTCGCACACACCCACACACCCTCACACAC